ATGAACATGAACATGAACATGAACATGAACATGAACATGAACATGAACATGAACATGAACATGAACATGAACATGAACATATACATGAACATGAACATGAACATGAACATGAACATGAACATGAACATGAACATGAACATGAACATGAATATGAACATGAACATGAACATGAATATGAATATGTATATGAACATGAACATGAACATGAAGATGAACATGAACATGAACATGAACATGAACATGAACATGAACATGAACATGAACATAAACATGAACATGAACATGAATATGAACTTGAGCAATAATATGAATATGAATACAATCATGAATATTGAATACTAAAACTAGTATATTTCTCTATTTACTTTTTGTTTGTATCTCTCGTTATCGATTCTGGTGTCTGGCAATAAATCAGAATATTTGCCGAATATAGGATTTATATATGATCTTCTGTATGCTGGGTAGAAGAGGGGGGGGGCCGAGCCACAACATTTCTTCACCCAAGCCACATTCTACTCCAAGCCTCCTCATAATCCTAATCCTTTTTAATTATTGCTCTTTAAAGGTCAACATTTTAAGTTCTTATAATTTTCTGATCTTGTTGCAAATTAAAGTAATTGAAATGAAATTGTTTAGATTGTCAGGATTTTCTAAAAAGCAATTTTCGCTTTCATGCGTAATATATGACGAATATTGTTTTTTGTTTGATTATCATATTGGAAACCATTACATTTTTAATTGCATGTGATGGTTTAATTTCAATATAAAGACAGAGCTATTATTTTTAAGTCGTAAAAGTTAGTTATTACAAAGTTTGGCAGACAAGATTTATGTCGTGTTGCCTTAAACTCTGATTTTACAATCCTTGTATCTTTGCAAACCGTAGACCTTAGATATTTCAACTTATTAATTTTGTTAGATAAAATAAAAATCAAAGATTTACACCATCAGGTTAAAATGATAAAGAGATAATAATTCCTTTATGGAAAGAAGATTTAAAAAAAAAAACTTTTCAGAATTGAATACTTTTAAACAAGAAGCTGCAAGGATGAGTATTTTGAGGTGGCACGGATGAGAAACTGGGGAGAACATTGCTCGGATGCAGAAATGATGTGGCTAAAACCGTATCCTCCCCTCATGTCTGTGGAATCTGGACGCGGGATATATATGTTTATGGTCAAATCAAGGTTTATACTGGAATTACTATCATGGTTCAGCGCGAACAGAAAAAGAACATTTGTTCATTTTTTGTTTGCTCTCTCGATCGGTCTGTGTTGAAAAAAAATCTTAAAAAGCCATTAAAAACTAGCTTAAGTCGAAAAGGAAAACTGACATTTTCACATTACTTTTTTAACAAAAATATATATTTCTAAAAGAATTGTGTCTTAATTTGCCACAAATTCAAATTTTCTAATCCCTATATCTTTGCAACGTAATATCTAAACCTCTGATATTTCAACCTTAGATTATTTGATCTTTATTCTATAAGAACACATAAATTGAAATATCTCAAGTTCACGGCATTGGGTTGCAAGAAAACAGTGATCAGAGAATTAGAGTTTGTGGCAAAGGCTCAATTGTTTTATTTCTTAACAAGAAAGTTTACCTGTAGAGTACATATTCAAGTGTTTACATCTGAAAGGCATTGTTTCAATACAAAAAATTATTCACATTTTTAAATTAAACTACATTTTTTTCATGCATCTTTTTATAATTACCATGCTAAATTTGGCTATTTACCAACCCCATCCATGTTCTAAATCCTTGCGCCCAGGGGTGTGTACAGGATTTGATTTGTGGCAAAAATGTGTGCCCCTTCTACGGAAGTAATGTAGGAGAAACCAAAACGGAATTGTCACAATCTCTGATTTTCTAATCTTAATATCTTTTCAACCTGATGGTGAAAGCATTTGATATTTCAAACTTAGATTATTTAGTCTAACAGAATTCATAGTTTGAAATATCAAAGGTCTCAGGCATTGGGTTGCAAAGATAGAGCGGTTATAAAATCAGAGTTTGTTGCATCAAAGACTCAAATCCTTTGTACAACCCTTTCTTTCTCAGGGGTCTATTGTTGGGCCCAGCCCCCTTCCCCCCCTGTATACAACCCTTATTATCAGGCCCCTCTCTCCTATTCTATGTATTCAGATTGTATGTTTGAAGTGTATCTCTTGATGTCTAGAATACTACTACTCAACTTTCCCGTGGAGGCAACATTTCTTTTATATCTATCTATCTATTACACGGCGGCTTACGGTTTTTTAAGGGTATGGAGATGGTTTCACAATTTTGCATGAAGTGCACTGAACCGGATGCCTCCCCCCCCCCCCCCCCCCCAAAGGGGGGATTCAGGGGGGGGGGGCATCAATATTGAGTTTACATCATAAATCTCTAAATAAAGTCAAATAAGGCTTGTCTGCTGAAGATTTTTTTTTGAGAAAAGTTTCTAAGTCGTCGTAATGTTTCGTTGAAGTTCTGAAAGTTCATTGCCAGATTTACAACGGTATCCTTAAACCCTTAACATCATACAGGATATTTTCGTTTTTCTAACTCGAAAAGTGTTTAGTTCTGATAATTTCTTCATTTTTCCTTTAAGCAAAAATATGAAAACCCCTTTTGCAGACAAAGCACAATTAAAAATAAACGGTTTAAAAACAAAAAAGATGGTTATCTAATTCACATTTGGATCAGACAAAGCTTTTGATGGTAACGTTGTGAATCGTGTATTTTCCCTCTTTGCATTGGAGGGTCATTTGAAAATACGCTTGCAGTCCCTTTGCATTGGAGGGTCATTTGAAAATACGCTTACAGTCCCTTTGCATTGGAGGGTAATATTTGTAACTATAAAGCAATAATCATAACTATAACACTTAACTTTCGTCCGCAAACGTATTTGTTTTCAAAATGTTTTGCACAGACAACACTAAATTTTCCCAAAGTCCTGACACCTGGCCTTCCTGTGAAGTTACTCCACGTTTTTTTTTTAACTTTTCATCTTTAGGAAAAGAATGAAATCTTATCTTATACGTTTGATCCGTGTTACAATTGAACGGTAGCAATACCTCATGCTTGTTTATACTGAGAAATCATGTAACTGATCAAAACAAATCCCCCCAAGAACGGTGTACTACATGTACACAATAACATACCAATACATGTTTACAATGTCATACCAATACAGGTGCCACCTGTTATTCTATAGTATTTATATTCTGAGGTTTTCATATATTTATGAATAGTTTTCTAGATTTATTTTATACAATATAGATCATATGGTTTACAATATATCTAGGGTATGTATTGTGTGAAGTGTGATGGATTGATACCGCAGTATATATAATATATATATTCTTATCTGTATACGTAAAAAGGGGGTTCTGGGGGGCCTTCTCGGATTCCGTTCTTTGACTCCTGATTAAAAAATATTGTAGAATATCATTAATTAATTCCAAATATTAAAATACTGGACATTGCATTAATCAAGGAATAGTAAATGGACCGAGTCTGGGTTTAAACAGTTTCCAATTGTAAATTTTTTAATATTTTTATTTTATTTTTAGGAAATTAATCCAGAAATGAAAGCGTTTTTCAACCCGGGAATGACGTTTTTATTTCTACATGTACAGTAGATTCAATTTAATTTTTACTTAGTTTCGTGTTTTTAAAACTAGTTATTTATAATCCATCAAACCTTTAGATTTATATGGCTTACAAGAAAAAGAATTAACACTTAAATTTAAAAATCTCCGAACGATTAAAACTCCGATTGGTTTAACGTGTGAAATGGCAATTAAATAGCTGTGATCAACAAGTTCTGCTAAAATTTTCTTCTAGAAGTTTCAGCTCTAAAATATTTTTTTAAAGTTCACTTTACTTATACTGGAGACATTTTTGGCTAGTTTAGCGTCCAGCAGATTGCTGTTTGTGATGTAAGCTAGGAGTGTTCTCATGAAGGTGGATTGCTGTTTGTCATGTAAGGAGTGTTCTCCTGAAGGTTGATTGATGTTTGTGATGTAAAGAGTGTTCTCCTGTAGGTGGATTGCTGTTTGTGATGTAAGGAGTGTTCTCCTGTAGGTGGATTGCTGTTTGTGATGTAAGGAGTGTTCTCCTGTAAGGTTGATTGATGTTTGTGATGTAAAGAGTGTTCTCCTGTAGGTGGATTGCTGTTTGTGATGTAAGGAGTGTTCTCCTGTAGGTGGATTGCTGTTTGTGATGTAAGGAGTGTTCTCCTGTAGGTGGATTGCTGTTTGTGATGCAAGGAGTGTCCTCCTGAAGGTGGATTGCTGTTTGTCATGTAAGGAGTGTTCTCCTGAAGGTGGATTGCTGTTTGTCATGTAAGGAGTGTTCTCCTGAAGGTGGATTGCTGTTTGTGATGTAAGGAGTGTTCTCCTATAGGTGGATTGCTGTTTATGATGTAAGGAGTGTTCTCCTGAAGGTGGATTTGCTTCGTATATCATAGGATTATCTGGAATATTGATCAAAGAAAGAGGACACTTTGGAGGCTCGGTTACCCAAAAATGTTTTTATTTATGCAAAAACCAAACAGAATCCCTAAACATTATCTGGAACGTATTTTAAAATGATTTTATGGACTTCGATGGTAATTTAATTTAATAGGGTTAAGAAGGTAAAAAAAGGAATATTTGAATGATTATGACATGTTGGGGCGGGAAAAGGCTATCAAGACCCTAAAAATAGTCGAAAATATTGGTCAAACCATATTAGCAAGGGTTCTAGAAGTATGTTTGCCACTCAGTTTGATGTGTACTTTTACGTTGGAAACAAAGTTGTAAAGCAAGATTAAAAAATGACAAAAATCTGCAAAATTTGTCCAAAAGTCTCTGACGTAGGACCAAAGGGATGACTTTGATTATGTATCTCGTATGTAAATCAAAGCCAGAAAACTCCTCAAAAGTCCTTCATACATTAAATACTTGATCTCTCTTTTCTAAAGGGTCTAAAACAGACTTTGTTGGATCAAGTTTGGAACGCTCATTACAATTGCTACAAAGATCTGATTGACATCAGTTGACCTGAAAAATCATCCGATATACATATAGTGAATTCTTTAAAAAATCAGGGCTGAGACTTTTACAATTATCCCTAATTTGTTTTGCGAAACTTGTTGATCACATTATTTAAAAGAATTCTTGTCAGTTGTTCTGAAAGTACAGGCGAAACTAAATTATTCTAGTTTAGAATACACGAAAATATAAATTCTTATTTTTTAACTCAATGCAGTAGACTATGTAAATTCGTTGCATAAATTTAAAACAACTATAGACAAGTATACAAGCGGGGGTGTTAAGAGGTGCTGAAAAAATCTTGGACATTATAATGAATAAAAAATTCGTACATTCCAGCTAGTCTCGAGCTTTTAACAATTAGAATGGCTCAGTAACATCTCACCTTATAACATTTCGCCATATACCATTTCGCCATATAACAACTCGCCTAAGCCACAACGCGCCTAGGTAACATTTCGCCATATAACAACAACTCGCCTATATATAAATTTTTAAATCAAATTATAGTGTAAATGAAATTAGGTAAGTTGTTAAATGGCGAATTAGGCGAGTTATTATATTGCGAAATGTTATATGTCGAAATGTTATATGGCGAGATGTTACTGCCCGTTAGAATGGTATATAAAAGCCAAGCTAGAAAGGTAGAAAAGTAATTTTGCAGACAGTAAACAATCATATCTAATATATCGATATGTTGTTTTGTCGGTATTGTCCATCTTTTTTATCTTAAGTAAAGTTGAACTATATATTCTTGAAAAGTTATAAGTACAAATATGACAGGTCTTTACTTAATAACTGCAGATATATTTAGACAGCATAGAAGCATCAAAATGCTGGAATAAATAACGAAAAATAGTCTTTTGATAAATTTTTTAAAAAAAATTACTTATTCCCATTATTAGAGCACATGGAAATTCATCCGACAAAAAGAGATTACAAGAGAAATCTACACGTGTTGGGTGAATAACAAGAAAAATCTACACCTGTTGGGTGAATAACAAGAGAAATATACACCTGTTGGGTGAATAACAAGAAAAATCTACACCTGTTGGGTGAATAACAAGAGAAATATACACCTGTTGGGTGAATAACAAGAGAAATCTACACGTGTTGGGTGAATAACAAGAGAAATATACACCTGTTGGGTGAATAACAAGAGAAATCTATACGTGTTGGGTGAATAACAAGAGAAATCTACACCTGTTGGGTGAATAACAAGAGAAATCTTCACGTGTTGGGTGAAAATGGGTTCCAAAGTGAGAGCTGACTGAATTTGCCGTCTGCTTTATGTAAATGATGTTAGGTACTTTCCCAAAGGATTTTTCCCAAGCGGCAACTTCCCAAGGGTATTTTTCCAAGTGGAAACTTCCCAAATGTGGAATTTTCCAAGTGGCAACTTCCCAAGTCTGTCCCAACCACAGCGCTCGGCCCTCAAGCCCATCCTAGTCGTAGCGCTCGGCCCCCATTGCAGCCTGCAGCGTCTCAGAGGGCCCAACCTAACCTTTGGGAATTTGCCGCTTGGGAAATTGCACATTTGGGAAGTTGCCACATGAGAAATTGTCACTTGGGAAGGGGCCCTTGGGAAAATGCCTTTGGGAAAGTACCTAACACCGTTAGTAATTACTCCTATAAATATATATGTTCATTAAATGGTCATTGGTCGCACATCTATCACAATCATATCAACGGTCAAATGTACTTCTGGCAGAACAAGTCTGATTTTTTATAAATTAAAAACACAAGGAATTAATCAAGTATTTACTGTAATTATAATTATTTTACCATTTGCATATGGACTATAAGAATTAAATAGAAGTTTAAACGAATCCAGGAGTTCTCTTTAAAAACAAGGAGTTCCAGGTTAACATGTTTTAATAGTTGCTTTTCTAAGATAGTTTTTATTGTTTTTTTTTAGCAATTTTAAAGCACAATTCTTAATCTGGAAGCCATAACGAAAAAAACCATAAACAATGTTGCCCAAATATTGAACGTAAATCGTTCAAACAAATTTAATATTTTTGCACCACCTTATCCTTACCTGATCACTTGTTAGGTAGAGGTAAATGAGTTTTATGCAGATTAATTCTAGGCTGTATCATTTTATGTATATTTTAATCCTTGAAATACATTAGTTTGTCACGAGACACAAACTAGAAGAGTTCACTTTTAAAGCTTATGAATAAAGAAAAATATTTATTTTTAATGATATCTTAATCCTCGAAATACATTAGTTTGTCACGAGACACAAACTAGAAGAGTTCACTTTTAAAGCTTAAGAATAAAGAGAAATGTTTATTTTTATAATATCTTAATCCTCGAAATACATTAATTTGTCACGGGACACTAGAAGAGTTCACTTTTAAAGCTTAAGAATAAAGAGAAATGTTTATTTTTATAATATCTTAATCCTCGAAATACATTAATTTGTCACGGGACACTAGAAGAGTTCACTTTTAAAGCTTAAGAATAAAGAGAAATGTTTATTTTTAATAATATCTTAATCCTCGAAATATATTAATTTGTCACGGGACATACTAGAAGAGTTAAGCTTAAGAATAAAGAAAATTTTTATTTTTTTAATACTAGCAGTGGGGTCTTCAAATGTCCATGACCACCAGATTTCAGTAATCGTGGTTCCTAAAAAGCCTTCGGTTTGTTTGGTTGCTCAAGGCCAGTGTCCAACAATCTTTAGCTTGCTTCAAATAGATTATCAAGTACAACAGGTGGCAACAGAGAAATGGGCCAATTATACACGACGTCACAAGTGTCAATTAACACGGAAAACGAAATTGTATCACATTAGTTATCATGTTTTCCATGATTAAATAAAAAAGTGAGAAAACAGAAAATTGCACTTATTTTACTGAAAGATAAGCACTTATTCTTAAATTATCACTATTATGAATAGTTTGTCGGACACAAAAACTAACTTGTCACTTGTGACGTCAGAATACATCTGTACTGAGAGTGTAAAAATTTTACATTGCCATCTATTGTATTAGTACAAGTACTAGTACGGCATTTAACCTTAAACAGGCGGGNTGGGTACAAAACATCTAAAATCATAAAACCTAAAGTTCATTAAAGCATTTAAACATTTACCTATATCTTTTATAAAATGAGATTTAAATTTTTTACCTTTACGGGAAATTTTGATATCTATTTATCAAAAAAGTTCAAATGAAAAATTTTGATGTTTCTTTCAGAAAATGAAATTTAGGTGTTTTTTTACCTGTAAATGAGAATTAAGTGTTTTTACCCTTAAATGAGATTAAGGATGGGGTGTTATTAGGTGTGCCCCGTGGGTGTACAAGTACAAACGTCGGACGCACAAACGTCGGACGCCACAAACGTCGGACAGTACAAACGTCGGACGCACAAACGTCACCTCCTTAGTCCGACGTTTTTCCTTATAAATGTACCCGTCCGACGTTTGTACTGGTCCGACGTTTGTACCAGTCTGACGTTTGTACTGGTCCGATGTTTGTACTGGTCCGACGTTTGTACTGGTCCGACGTTTGTTCTGTCCGACGTTTGTAAGTCTTATGTTTGTACCGTCCTACGTTTGTGGGTCCGACGTTTGTACTGGTACCATTTTGAAATTGGGGTGTTTTACAGTGTGGTTGTTATTATTTTTATGGCATGGCATTCCGTGTTAAAAAAAAACTAAAATAGCCTATTTTTTGTTATTAAAGATACATATCTAAAAACTACATTTTTGAAACGCCCCTGAAAAATGAATGAAAAAAACAAGTGTCCAATCTAAATATTTGTCAAAAATAAAAAAATAATTTTTTCTATCTTTTCGACCTTTTCAATTTAGCTGTCTAATCTTGTTTTCAATGAGCCGTCCTTGCACAATTGGGCTATGCACATACATTGGAACTTAACAGCCTTTACTCTAGGGCCTTTTTCTAAGGGGGGGGACATGTCCCTAGTCCAACTTTTCAAGGCCTGCTCATTAAATAAAAATTGACCTCTAACTTTAATGGTTAGGGTGTAAGGGAGGATTTTTAAAAAGTTCAAAAGTTTGTCGAAACAATTTTCAAAAATAGTTTTTTTTACTTTTAACAAATATTAACATATGACACATGTTATTATTTCCATTTTTCATGGCCTTTTCAAATATTTAAGTCTTAGTCCTGTAGCTTAATTAATAAAAAAAGTCATTAACAATTTCTGATTTTTTTTTTTAAACACCGACCCGCCGTTCGACCATTCCACCCCCTCCTATGCATCAAACAAAAAATTGTCTAAACTATGATGTTGAAAAAGTGAAGAAGTTTTTAAGAAGACACCACAGGGGGGGGATGGAAAACACTCCACCCCCTAATCGTGATAGGGTTAAATAGTACATTTCGTCGTATCTTTCCAGTTTTTACTTTAACAGAGATTATTCATATCTATAGTTTGGAGTCGGAGGTTATTTTTAATGAAAACATATCTCTTGAATTTTTCAGACAGCCCCCGATGTATGAGTTATCATGGCTAAAATTAAGGATTCGAAAAAGCAGTTTGTGCAAAACATCAATGTAGGGTTGATGGGCATCTCATTTTTTCTTATCTTCACGGGCTTCTTCACTGTAGGTACAGGGTGTAGGTACAGGGTGTAGGTACAGGGTGTAGGTACAGGGTGTAGGTACAGGGTGTAGGTACAGGGTGTAGATACAGGGACAGTAGGTACAGGGTGTATGTAATGGGTGTAGGTACAGGGTGTAGGAACAGGGTGTAGGTACAGGGTGTAGGTACAGGGTGTAGGTACTAGGTACAGGGTGTAGGTACAGTGTGTAGGTACAGAGTTTATGCACAGAGTTTAGGTACAGTGTGTAGGTACCGGGTGTAGGTACAGAGTTTAGGTACAGAGTTTAGGTACAGAAATTAGGTACAGATATTAGGTACAGAGTTTAGGTACAGTTTGTAGGTACCGGTTGTAGGTACAGAAGTTAGTTACAGAGTTTAGGCACAGGGTTTAGGTACAGGGTTTAGGTACAGAGTTTAGGTACAGGGTGTAGGTACAGGGTGAAGTTAGTTACAGAGTTTAGGCACAGGGTTTAGGTACAGGGTTTAGGTACAGGGTGTAGGTACAGGGTGTAGGTACAGGGTGTAGGTACAGGGTGTAGGTACAGTGTGTAGGTACAGAGTTTAGGTACAGGGTGAAGGTACACAACATGTTCTATTATTTTCTATTTCTAGGGGGGATACAGACCTTGGTTTTCGATTCAGCTCAGATTGCCAACTCTACAGGATATGTTGAAGGATTCCATGGAGACGGACTATGGAGGTTGTATGATTTTCTTTTGTTTTGTTGAATATCTAATTACATAATGTAAAACTCGTGGCTTAAAAACAAAAGAAATACAAGATAATTAATAAAAATCATAAATTATGTATTGTAAAGATAATTTTTTTTTTATTTTTATTAATATTTAATACAGATTTTTTTAGCTTAGGATTGTGTTATGCGTTCTTTACGTTAACAAACCTCATTTCTCCTTCAATTCTGGCACTTATGGGACTAAGGCAAAACTAAACAACATAATTTAAATTTTTTTATTTATTATTTGTTTGATATCTAGGCCGTCAATGTTTGTTGGAGCATTAACCTACGTTCTATTTATTGTTCCTTTATTATATCTAAATGGAATTTTCCTCTACATATCTTCATCAATACTAGGGGTTGGAGCAGCAATATTTTGGACAGCACAGGTATATTTTCCTCTACATATCTTCATCAATACTAGGGGTCAGAGCAGCAATATTTTGCAATATTTTGGACAGCACAGGTTAATCTACCAAACTTAAAAGGATTGTAAACTTCATTTCAATTAGCTATTAAATTAAAGAGTGATATGTACGATTCACTGCGGTACCCTTTGAACCGTATTTTTCAATCTCAAAATTCTCCTTAAATTTTAAATTGCGGATATAAGCAAGGATGTAATGCAAGGAAAGTTATTTCAGAAGTGTACACATCTTTTGTACTGCAGTGTACTGTCTCTGGGCGCTAATGTAAACACAAGACGGATGTCGAAGCCTGACATGGGATCCATCTTTCACATAAATAATCAATGAAATATTCTGGTCATAGGAAACTATTATGTGAATTATCAAAATTATCAAAATTTAATGCTTTAAACCTCCTCGGATACTAAAAGAACACCATCTATTCTTGTTTACAAATTCCACCCAGAGAGAACTGGCTTTAATATGTACGCAGTGTATACGCAACTGCAATTAACTTTCCTTGCATTACATTCTTGGATATATGCAACAAAAGAATGATGAAAATAAAGAGAAATTTTGTTTTTCCAAGACAGGATTGTTCGTGTAGTTGGGACACTTTGTTCAAAGAGTTCCTGCATGCATAATTCCCAATATTTAAATGTTTTTAAGATTGAAAAAATATTCTATTAATGCCGATCTTATGTTTAGGGAAAATTCCTGTCCTTGAACTCCAACGAGAAAACTATTTCCCGAAATACTGGAATATTCTACACAATGCTACAATCCTCATACTGTGTTGGAAATGTTTTTGTTTATTTCTACTTTCGTGGAAAATCAGAAATAGATAAAGAAACAAGAGATATAGTTTCGTCAGGTAAGAGATTAAGAGATATTACAATAATATGCTTCACGCTACCCCCTTTTCTAGAAACAGTTTTAGATTTTAAATGCTGCTTCACTAGTTGCCATTTTTTCATTGTTCTCCAATAAAAAAAAAATTTTGATGATTTTTCTGTTAAAATTGTTGCATTTTTAAAAATAATAAATGTTCTAAATTTTACAATTTCGTCAAGCCAAAACCCTCCTAAGGATAATTTGAGTTTCCACAAAGATCGGCCCTGTTTACACTGATTAAATTCAAATAAACATACAAACAGAAATGAAAAGTATACAAATGTATATATTATATAAATAAAATTACAGAATTTACATAAATAACAAATATTTAAATATTTTCTAGTATTACTAAGTGTAGCATCTCTGGGTTCTCTATTAATTCTCCTCTACAGACCAACCCCCTGGGCAGATAAAGAAGAAGAAGATCAAACTGTATACTCCGCTCTTAAGGATCATGCCAAGTTCTTCTTTACCATAGATATGATTCTCTTGAGCTTCACGTTCTTCTACACCGGTATCCTGCTCAACCTATGGTCTGCTGTCTACGGAACCTGTATAGGGTTTACAGCAGCATTCGGAGACGAGAGAAAGGGTCTCACGGCAATCAGTGGAATGTTTGTTTCCGTTGGAGAAGTGTTGGGAGGAGTTATTATTGGGAAGCTAGGTTCATGGACACACAAGGTTGGACGGAGCCCAATAATTATCAGTGGGTTTATCTTTAGTGCTCTTGCTTTTATCTTGGGATTTATTAATTTACCCAACGAATCCCCTCTTGGAGAAACCACTCTACTTCAGACAGCTCTTATAGGTGCACACATTGATTTGGTTTTTAATTATTTTTAATGAGAATTCACACGTATTTTAAAGTGATCCATAATTTATGAATAAAGTGGCAAGTCCGATTCACAGTGGTACCCTTTAAACTAAGAAATGGCGTGATCACTGTATTTCTTTTTAACACTATTGTGAACCATATCCCTAATGTAACCCTGTTTCAAAAGTCGTCTCCGACAAATTGTATCTCCGTTGAATCCGTTGAGTACTCCGGCCACCCGCCAAACCAAACCTTGCCAAGGATTTTGCATAAATAACCTCATGGAGCTAGTAAAACTTAAAGTGCATTAAAAGAACCCATTTAAACATAATTTTCAGTGAATCATTTGCAATCAAATAGTGAACTTATTTAATCAGACGAATATTTATTTTCAGAAGAATTAAATTTGCTTTAGACTTCAGTACAAACAACTTTTTGACCCAACACAGTTTTCTAGATTGTAAGTTCCATTCACAACAGTACCTTTTATTAATCAATTCACAACAGTGCCTTTAAACCCGTTATTTATTGATTTACAACAGGAAAATATGATCCCCAATCCTGCTAAACCCACTAAACCTAAAATCTCCAATCCTACAAAACCTACAAAACCTAGAATTCCAATACTCATTTATTGACAATAAAAAAACCTTCAACTGTTTAATCTTTATTAACAATTATTATTTCCCTTTATTTATTGATTTACAACAGCAAAGAAAATATGATTCCCAATCCTGCTAAACCTACTAAACCTAAAATCTCCAATCCTACTAAACCTACAAAACCTAGAATTCCAATACTCATTTATTGATAATAAAAAAACCCTTCAACTGTTTAATCTTTATTAACTATTATTATTTATATGCATGTACGCCAATAACAATTTGTATTTTGTAGGAAACCTCGTTACTGAAATATACTTTTTCAAGAAGTTATCATCTATCTGTGTGTCTGGTAGAAAAGAGTGTTTTCCTTGCCAACTCGCCTTCTTTCCCTCTTTCGAGTATTATTCCTTTTGTTCAGCTCACAACTATACTTGTCATTGCTGCTTCCTATAAATGTATGCACCAGAAATGTAAAGAAAAGAATGCTAGGCAGAAAAATGACGATATGTTCTGTATTTTTGATCTAATAAAGTATCTGATGCAAGGTATCGTCGAGATTCAGACATGTAACGCTTATAAATTGTAGGTCACTTGAATTTACGTCAACATACCCTTTAATTACTAAACCCTGGTGATGATCGATAGTGTTATTTACTGTTTCCTTGTTTAGACTCTAATCAGTATCTAGTCATCATTGGTAGCTTTCTTCTAGGTTTAGCTGATGCTTGCATAGTAACACAGGTAATCCCAGGGAATTCAAAATAGTAGAAACGGAAATTTAAAATACCCCCCCCCCCTTTATCCAAAACCCAATTGCCCTCTAGTTAGTAAGGTTCATTAGTTATCAAATAAAAGGATTTTAAGATTATGACTAACAGGCATCTATGCTTATGCTATGCTTTTTCTACGTGACCTAGTTAATATATCAATATTGAATACAAATTTTGCTTTTCTAAAAAAGTTTTCATTAGTGTGTATTGTATAATTAAGTGTGTAAACATTTTAGTGTTTTTCCTTAATGGCCGGAACCTTTCATCAGAATACTTCTTCAGCTTTTGCAATCTTCCATTTTATGCAAGGAATTGCATCTTCCCTAGGTAAATTATTTATCTTGTATTGCAAATATTCAAACACACCGGGCGGCCTAGAGTCTCAACATTTTAGTCGTCCAACAAATCTATTTTTACACGCTTCTAAATTTTTTTCTTAAAAATTCTGGCCATATTTTTAGCAAAATTTGCAATTCAATAAAAAATTGATAATTGTGTGTTTATTTGTTTTAAGCTATAACAAGCTTAATCTAAAGTTAAAATAATGAAGCACATGAAATAAATGTTGTTTTTGTTCTTTTTTAATAAAGGTATGTCGCTATATTTGCAATTGATGCTACGACGTGAAGTATTAGCATTCTTCTATTCATCTCTTCTCCCTCTGTACTGGCAACAACTTATTTTATTTAGCATTCTTCTATTCTTCTCTTCTCCCTCTGTACTGGCAACTACTTATTTTATTTAGCATTCTTCTATTCTTCTCTTCTCCCTCTGTACTGGCAACTACTTATTTTATTTAGCATTCTTCTATTCCTCTCTTCTCCCTCAGTACTGGCAACTACTTATTTTATTTAGCATTCTTCTATTCCTCTCTTCTCCCTCAGTACTGGCAATTATTTATTTTATTTAGCATTCTTCTATTCCTCTCTTCTCCCTCTGTACTGGCAACTACTTATTGCTTTGATCTCGGCTTCCTTGGGAACAATCACATTCTGCTATGTTGAATACAAGAACAGGTTTTATATTTAATATTTTGCTTCTTTTGGGGTTTTATTAATTATTGGCGGATTACAGAATGAAATTCAAGAACAAGCTTTTTTATACAGAAATCTAATATTTTACTACGGTTGTAAGCACTTATATCAAAGTAATCAAGACAACTTTTTGTTAAGGTTTTAATTGTTAACAAGCTTTTTTTCGAAATACAAGTCAAAAGTCGGCTTCATTTATTGATTGATTAAACGCATACAACTTATTTTTACGTTTTTATCTATTTTATTTTGCTAGGGGAAAAGAGGTCGAGTTGAAAGACGAAATTTCGGCACTGTAGTTAATTTCTGGTTGATACGTTAATAAACGTTAATGAAAAATATTACATATATTATAATATTAATTTTATATATTTTTTTATGGTTAAAAAAGTAATGAAATGTTTCTTATATGAATCAAGACCATGTAAATTGAAATCATGTAGCCCTTGTTTGACTTGGGCCTGGGGGGAAAATTGGAATTTTGAAGAAAAAAAATGATTTAGGATATGTTTTCGCTAATGGATTTCCTCAAACATGTTATAGCCAATTTGGTCCAGCCGTTTGGCCAGCTATAGCTAACATATGTATATAAGCTCGAAGATTTTTTCTAAGAGATTTTCAGTATAGCAATATAAATTTAAAAACTATTTTGAATTTAATAAATGAAAACTTTTAGATTTGTTATTAATTTGGTTAAATTCTAGCTCTCCTTTTATGCCTCTCTGTACCAATACACTATACAATATACATCAAAGATAATAATTGTATGATATTATCAGAATTAATAAAAGTTTTAGAAATGTCGTCTTCTTGCGAAGGAAAATTTACTTTTCTCTAATACTAACAAAATAAAACCATTGAACACAATTGTTTTTTTAAAAAACTTTAAAGAACTGTAGACGTAATTTCAATTTGTAGATTGGCATGTCTAATTCACAACGGTTTCCATTAACCTTTATCTAAGCAGCAATAAGGGAGATATCAAATGTCGTTTTTCTATCTTTACCTGTTTTAAAGAAAAAGAGAAATATCCATCAGTCAGGTAAGAAAAACGTTTGAAGGATACCTATATACCGGTGTAAATCGGATAAAAGAATGGTTTCAAGGATATCGTCATAACGTTGTAAATCGGATAAAAGAATGGTTTAAAGGATATCGTTATAACGTTGTAAATCGGATAAAAGAATGGTTTAAAGGATATTGTTAGAACGTTGTAAATCGGATAAAGAAGGGTTTTAAGTATACCGTTATAACGTTGTAAATCGGATAAAAGAATGGTTTGAAGGATATCTTTAAAACGTTGTAAATCGGATAAAGAAGGGTTTGAAGGATATCGTTAGAACGTTGTAAATCGGATAAAGAAGGGTTTGAAGGATTCCGTTATAACGTTGTAAATCGGATAAAATAATTGTCTAAAGGATACCGTTATAACGTTGTAAATCGGATAAAAGAATGGTTTAAAGGATACAGTTATAACGTTGTAAATCGGATAAAAGAATGGTTTGAAGGATACCTTTATAACGTTGTAAATCGGATAAAAGTATGGTTTGAAGGATACCTTTATAACGTTGTAAATCGAATAAAAGAATGGTTTGAAGGATACCGTTATAACGTTGTAAATCGGATAAAAGAATGGTTTGAATGATACCGTTATAACGTTGTAAATCGGATAAAATAATGGGTTTTAAGGATACCTTTATAACGTTGTAAAACGGATAAAAGAACGGTTTGAAGGATACCTTTATAACGTTGTAAATCGGATAAAAGAACGGTTTGAAGGATACCTTTATAACGTTGTAAATCAGATAAAAGAATGGTTTGAAGGATACATTTATAACGTTGTAAATCGGATAAAATAATGGTTTGAAGGATACATTTATAACGTTGTAAATCGGATAAAATAATGGTTTGAAGGATATCGTTAGAACGTTGTAAATCGGATAAAAGAATGGGCTTGAATGATACCTTTATAACATTGTAAATCGGATAAAAGAATGGTTTAAAGGATACCTTTATAACGTTGTAAATCGGATAAAAGAATGGTTTGAAGGATACATTTATAACGTTGTAAATTGGATAAAAGATTGGTTTGAAGGATATCGTTAGAACGATGTAAATCGAATAAAAGAATGATTTGAAGGATACCTTTATAACGTTGTAAATCGGATAAAAGAATATAGGGATTAGAAAATCAGAAATAGTGACAAAGACTCAATTCATTTCTATCAAAGGTTTAAACCACTAAGTTTGAAAGGTACAAAAAAAGTTTAAATGAAAAATATTTTAAAATTGGTTGATTTATTTATAATGAAAATTAAAATGGTTAAAAGCTCAATAATTGGACTATTTTTTTACAATATTTAAATCACACAGTTGTTTAAAAAGGACCAAGGTCGGTTAATATTTACAAATTTAACATATTTAAATAATTATTTAGAAAGCTCCAGGATTTGTTAATGTATCGCCAATTCTCTCCAAGCTCTTCAAAGTTTCGTTAATCTATTCAAAACAAGATTAAGTTAACATATTTAAGTTGGTTACATGCGGTTAACATAGCCGAACTGAAAACGTCTGTAAGTATTATTTCAAGCATTGGCGGATCAAGCATTAGTTATATTTAAATTTTTATAATTTTTAAAACTGATTTTTTTCATTTGTTGGTTCTCTATAATAAAGACTGGAGCATTAGTACTACAAGAAAATATGCAGGAGTTATTAGAATTAAGATACATGCTCTTAACCCTAGAGCAACGACGATATGTTTCACATTATTGATCAGATAAAGGTTAAAGGGTACCATTTTATATCTTTGCATGAAGGTTTACATAAAATTACGCTTACAAACCTTTTGAAGGGACTTTTTGCAAAAAAAAAACACTTCGAGTAGTTCATAACCTTTTATATCCGGCCCATTTTGTTCTGTAAATTAGGCGACAATGTGTAACTGTTTTTTAGGGTATCTCGAAAGTTATATTCTCTTAAAGTAATAATCAATTATTACAATGACTTCTTTTATTTCGCGCAAACACGCTTCTTTCAGATATAAGATAGTTTTTTTTCTGGAATTGAGATACTAGAAGGGTTTGTTGATGTAATTTATAGAGTGTAATTCAAATCGTTATATTATCAAACATCAAATATATTGTAAAGTACAATAGATGGCAACGTAGAATTTGTACACTCTCAAAGCACCTATATTCTTACGCCATCAAGTGTCAACTCAGTTTTTGTGTCCAACAAAATCATTAATAATAATGATAATTTTAGAATAAAGTGCGTATCTTACAGTGAAATAAGTGCAATTATATGTGCTCTTTATTTTCTGTTTTTACACTTTTTTATTGAATCTTGGAAAACATGTCAACTATTGTGAGAAAATTTAATTTTCCTTGTTATTTTTGACACTTGTGACGTCGTGTATCATTGGTCCATTTCTCTGTTGCCACCTATTGTACTTGATAATCTATTTGATCAAACATGAAAAAGATATCCATATTTGAGGAGCTAAACAAATAAAGTATTTTCAAACATGGTCTCTCTCTAAAAGTGAGTTGTGGATTGGTGGTTCTTATTCCATGAAGGAAAATTATCCGAATTCAAGACGTTTTAAAATATCTTCCTTTTCCTAATTTTCCCTTAATAAATATTTAAAAGATACCGTCTAGAATTAGACATTTTTTAAATGGAGGATCTCGTAAAACTACGCCTACAGCCCGTTTAAAGGAATAACAAAATGGCATGTCTTAAAATGGTACCTTTTGTAACCAAATCATCTTTTCTTCATCATCTGTACAGATTACACTCAGGCTGACCCTAGCAGCCGAAACAAAAACAAAATCAACACTTAGGTTTAAAATGTTTGTTAGATTATAAAAAGAGTATATATTGATACTTGTCGTGCCCATCTATACTATTTCAATTGTGAAAATTTTTTCTTTGCTAATGGTGGATGTCAAAGTCTACTACAGTTAACGAGTATGGGTTCAAACCCTTTGCTAATGCTAGATGTCAAAGTCTACTACAGTCAACGAGTATTGGTTCACACCCTTTGCTAATGGTAGATGGCAAAGTCTACTAAAGTCAACGAGTGTGGGTTCACACCCTTTGCTAATGGTAGATGTCAAGTCTACTACAGTCAACGAGAATACATTTCTACTTTTGCTGAATCAATATGTATTTATAAGTTCAATGAATGCATTCCTGAAAATGTTTTGATTATTTAGGTGCTGACTAATTATCTACTTGTAAATGCACAATGAATGTATATTTAGTTGAGATTTCAATATGTATACTTTGTTTCAACAAAAACGATCAAACAAAATTATCAAACATTATATTTTGAATTGGCTCATAATAAATTTTCTTCTGTGTTTTATTTTAAGCTGAACCATCATACATTATTATTTTGTATTTTGTGTTTGAAAATAAATACTATAACTATAACATTGAAAAACAAAACAAAAAGCAAACAAAAAAATTCGCGGATTTTACAGAAGTAAATGTGGAATTTCAAAATTTAATGAAAATCGAATTTTGTTGGAGGTTAATTTTTGAAATTTTTATCATCCATAAACCTTTCCTGTGGTCATGTGAGGTCCCACACAACATTTGGTCCCTATCAGTTTAGCCGTTTTGACGTTTATGGGATAAACACAAACAGACGGACACTCAGACAAGCATAGTATATATAGCAGGGGTCAATATAATTCCCAAAAAAGCTGATTTTCTCGATCCCAAAATGATTTTTTGCCCCCAATTTTTAAAAAAAATGCCCCCAGTTAAAAAAAAAAAAAAAATTTGCCCCCAATTAAAGAATTTGCCCCCATTTCTTTCAAATTTGTCAATCCCAAATGGGATTGAAAAAGGAATTATATTGACCCCTGATATATAGATGTTACGGGGTCTAAACAGTAGATATCGTAATATTTCAGTAAGTAAACTATTATAATAATATTCACATTCTTGAAAAATTTCCTTCCCTCCATTTTTCTCCGTCTCTAATATGAAAGTTTTGACCAATGCTGAAAAATATAAACGGGTTGCAAAGATTTAGTTACCTGTCATCTGTATCATAGATCTCAAAGGACTTTTTACTCTTTCCTTCATCTTTTACCTAGAATTTAATACAAGGTAGTATCATTACAACCAAGGTTGTATATTAAGGTTAGATACTCTGAATGCGCTTCACTGTAATAGAAATGTCGTCTTAATAGCAATGGACAATAACAATTCTGATATGACGTCACATATTATTGGCGGTGGGTGAGGAATATCGAATTTTCTCCGCTTGTCAGCTGTAAAAAGCGAAGGAAATCCTCTTTCCTCTCACTAGCAATGTTGCCACTTTAGCCTCCGCCAATAAGAAAGTGACATCATATGATGATTTAGAGTGTCCTTTGCTATGAAACTATACAACCTTGATTACATCACAGGAACTAAATACTCGTCATAAAGTTTAATTTTCTAATCCCATCTCTGCATCCTGATGGTGTAAACTGTTGATATTTTATGCCAAGATCAAGCCAAACTCAAAGTTTAATATATCAAAGGTCACGACTTCAGGTTGCAAAGATTTAAAAATAAAAATCAGAGTGTGTAGTGATTGCATCATGAAATCAATCTAGAATATAATTTTAACTGACCCTTCACTTACAGCGTTATATGCTCGATTCAATCTTTATGTGAGTAACAATTACATAGATATCATCGTTTTTCTATCATGAAAACAGACGAATTCTGACAATTTTTAAACGAAATAATCTCTTCTGTAACATTTTGCAAGTCGCTTTGAAAGTGAACCACTTTTATAAAAGCAATCAATTTTCAAAAAGAAAAAATTATTTTGGTTTTGTCCAGACAAAAGTGAAAAGGTAAAAAATAAACTCCTACATTATTGTATTTTTTATATTTTACCGTGAGATGGTTTGTATTAAATCTTCGGAGAAATTTATATTCATCTTCTGATGTAGATACTTTTCTAAAAAATAGTTTTATGCGTTTTAACATTGTTTTTGTCCTAATATAAGATTTTGATATTTGAGAACCTGTTAAAAATATGTACACCAACTGTATCAATCTGTTCATGATATATTTGCCTTGCTGCAAACCCTGTTGCACCACCCTTTTCATATATATTACCTTGTTGTAAACCCTGCTGCTCCAGCCTGTATACATAATACATTTACCTTGTTATAAACCCTGTTGCACCACCCTGTACATAATACATTTACTTTATTATAAACCCTGTTGCACCACCCTGTACATAATATATTTACCTTGTTATAAACCTTGCTACCCTGTACATAATATATTAACCTTGGTGTAAACTCTGCTGTACCACCCTGTACATAATATATTCACCTTGGTGTAAACTCTGCTGCTGTACCACCCTGTACATAATATATTCACCTTGGTGTAAACTCTGTAATAATAATACACTGATCGAAAAAGAAGACGTGGGCATCAAAAGAACTGTCTTTATTCTTCTTGAATATCTCCTAAAATATTTAACAAATATAAATTGCAATATGTATAAAATTAAAGTATGTATTGGGGTTTATGTGTATATATAATAATGTATTTATGTCACACTTTAGTGCGTCCTAAATACACTTCTGCAATTTTAAATTTAAATGGATTCTTTTAGTCTTATACAAAGGTCCTCACGTCCTATGGAAATACACACAATATTGTTAGAAATAATATCTTAAGCATCTTATTTTATTTCTATTTACTCCAGGAAATCCACGTTGACATGAATAAGAGTTCAGTGAATTTGCTTGAGTGTGCACACAACCGACAATGTTTGCAATGAAATCAATCAAAGTTCACATGTGTCAATAAATATATGGGACAGGGGAGATCAAACAAGGGGCACGACCCCCTTTCTTAAGTAAAAAATTTAAAGACACATTCTTATGCGTAAATAGGTACTTTTTCATCACAAATACAAGTTAGTCACCGGAAATGTTTTCTTCTTCCCGTTTTCTTTACACCGAACAGTTCCTCTGTGTACTAAAGTTCCCTGAATTATTTAACTTTTAGGAAATGTTCATAAAAATGTCAAGGAAATGAAGGATTAAGCATGATTAAATCGTAAATAAAATAGTATTTTTTTTTTCTGAAATGGAATCCCAGAACTATAGAATTGTGAATTTAACCTGTGATGTAATATCGAACTCCAGGTTCTGAATTCTTCCTAAACACGAGATGACGTTAAACGTTATCTAAATTGACCCTCTATTAAAAGATCCCATGTCCGTTAAACATTTATTGGTATACCCTGTAATCCTGAGCCATGAGCGACAATGGAAAAGAAATCTTTATTTTTTTGAAAAGTATTCACTTTTGGTGATTTCCTTCATTTTCTCTTTTACATAGAAACCATCACAGCTAAAAACAATTAATTTAAAACTTTAGAAACTAAATATATTTCATTTGTTCATTATCAGATAGAGGTTAAAAGGGTACCGTTGTGACTGGGAAATCTAATCTAATCTAACCTAATCTAATCTAATCTAATCTAATCTAATCTAATCTAATCTAATCTAATCTAATCTAATCTAATCTAATCTAATCTAATCTAAGCTTATCTAATCTAATCTAATCTAATCTAATCTAATCTAATCTAATCTAATCTAATCTAATCTAATCTAATCTAATCTAATCTAATCTAAAATAAAAGGCACGGAAAACATGCTAAAAACACAAATTTTCTAAACCCTTTATATTTTACATTTCTAACTTTAACTATTTTTCCAGCAGAAGTTTAAAAATTTAAAATTCAACGACATTAGGTATGATTGTGAGGACTAGAAGTAGAAAATAGAAATTAAAGGCAAGTAATATTTTCAGTTCCTTTATCAATTGTTTACCTGCTTCCATCATACTATTCGCTGTAATACTTATATCATGACATATCTATAAAAAAAATTTATTTTGAAACAAGTTCTCAATATAATTAGGTGGGTAGTTTTGCTAATTTAGTTCTTTATAATATATAAAATACACCTTGTATACTTGATTAAAGTACTCCATGTACTCCAGTTCTCTATAATATATAATACACCTTGTATACTTGAGTAAAGTACTCCATGTACTCCAGTTCTCTATAATATATACCTTGTATACTTGAGTAAAGCACTCCATGTAATGAAGTACTCCAGCTATATCTATATCTATATAATGTTGTAATCTCTGTATGGTGTCTGTCTGTTTGTTTGTCCGATCATAACTCAGGAACCCCTGGACCGATTTGCCTCTAATTTTAATTGGGGAACTTGGGAGACCCACAGGAATATTCTTAGCTTGGTTTAAAGATTCTTAAATGAGTGGGTCGACATTAATGGCGACAATTTAGTTTTCCAGTAAATCGTTCAAGTGCGGGTAAACGGTGGGATCAACTTATGTAACCTGGGCAACGCTGGGTTTCCAGGCTAGTATAATATTTACCTTTAATATATACCTTGTATACTTGAGTAAAGTACTCCATGTACACCAGTTCTATATAATATATACCTTGTATACTTGAGTAAAGTACTTCATGTACTTCAGTTCTATATTATATATACCTTGTATACTTGAGTAAAGTACTCCATGTACACCAGTTCTATATAATATATACATTGTATACTTGAGTAAAGTACTCCATGTACTCCAGTTCTATATAATATATACCTTGTATACTTGAGTAAAGTACTCCATGTACTCCAGTTCTCCTGCTTGTTTACTTGAAGAGATCAAACCTTCCAGAAGAATTGGATATCTGAAGATAATACAAATAGTAGGAAACAACCAACCCAGCCTCAACTCATCTCAAACTCGAGGAACATAAAGATCTTTTAAATGCTGATACATCGAAAGATATTAATTATTCAAACTATGAATGCTGCATAATTAAACAGTCAAAGTTTGAAGTATCAAAGGTTTACACCATCAGGTTACAAAGTTAAAGTTATAAGAAAATTAGAGTTTATGTCGAGTAACTAATCATTTCCTTTGTCAAGTAATATTTCAGCTTAACAATAGAAACCTATTCGACGTAATCATTTCAGTAAAAAACATAAGATGAAAAATAAGAACAGAGGGACCAGATTTTATGAGAACGGAGAAGTTGTTAAACTACAATGGTCGGCTTCTATATCAATACAATGAAATCGAAATTTTTTATCAAAAAAAGGTGTTATTTGATAAGTTTACTTTGTTTCCATGATGTGTGTATCCATGCTGTTAAAAAGCAATTGTTAGAAATAAAATTTTTAATAGAAAGTCGTCTTCATTGTATTGATAATTACGACGACGACTGTACTTGAAGAAAAGTAGTTAAATCAAGTCTACGTATAGTTCAACTGAATCTCATATTTACTACATTTTGTCCCTGAAACTACCTTTGTAAATGTTGTACTGGAACTGTAAGCTCGGAGTCATATCTGAACCCAATACTCTCAAACTGTTGAACCTGCTCCATTTCCTTTAAAACAGATCGATTTTAAACCTGAAGATACAGTTTTTGACAAACAATAAAGCCTATAAAGGCTGGGTCTGAATCTAAGTATATCCTGGGGGGGGGGGGGGGGAGTTCCCCTAGTAAACAACTTAAGTAAATGTATAGGGTTGCAATGCAAGTTTTTTGTCCAATTTAGTCCAAAATTAGACAACTTACTTTGCTAATTCAATTTTGAATTTTAAAAATGTAAAAATATTTCGGGAAAAATTTTCTGACAAATGGATTTGACACACGTTGATAATTCAAGTTTTTTAAAGTTTTTTAAAAATAGTAGGTTTTTAATCTGAAGCTTAAACAACAAAAAAGTTGCGGAATGTTTTAGATTTTCTTCAAACACTGACTGGTCTTTTTACCGTCCTATGCCCTACCCTATGCATTAAGAACAAGGGATGTAATCCGTCGTCTTTGCAATAAGGACAGAGATCAGGGACAGAAGGGAATCGGTGTTAGGTATAGATCATGTAGTGACATACAGTACATCGGATAAATGAGAGTTGCGGCATCTGTGTACACAGATCTGGGGTATGTAAACAGTAGACAGTTTTTCTATACCATAGCATGAGAGATTTGTTGTATAAAACTGCAAATTAAGAAGTTATACGATCATCAGTAAACTTGAAAAATTATCCGATGGGCATAACAATACTTATCCAAAACATAAGAGCTTATACCAAGGTAAAATATGAATTTTGTATAAATAATTTACAATTTTAAAGTTTTGAAAAATCAACATTTCTGCAATAGAGCTAGACTATCCCTGCACGGCTTATGTCATCTGTGAAAATATTTTTTGAAAGAAGGATGGGAAGCTAGACCAACCAACGCATATTTTGTTTTATAGACTGTAACATATTTTCCGAATTGGATTTGTCTTTAAGGAACATTTCATAATTTTTTCATATCAAGGGCGTAAAGATGGGGTGTTCGGAGGGGGGGGGGATGACAGCCCACGGCCACTGTATATATCTCACCCCTGACTAAACAGAGTTAGAGGCATTCGGTTTCTTCTATTTGAAATCATACGCGTTTTGGTTTATATTTTAACAATCTTTAAACTTACGAATTTGTTTGTTTAATACTTTTTATTCATAACGTATATGCTGGCAAAAAAGTATTTAAGAAAGAAGGCTGAAAAATTATGTTTAATAGGAGAAATTGTGATCGAAAGTTCTAGCTTTCTGGAATATTGACAGAACCATTAAATTCACGTGATCTTAAGCTTAAACATAATCTTGTTAAGGTTTCATGACCTTTCATTCCAAGTTAATTCACTTATCACATAAACAGAGAGGCATATTGGATGTTAAATTTTTATCATGCACATGAATAGAAATTGCTCGTGAGAAAAAATAACAATTTTTCTGAGTAAAATTCTTAATTTGGAGCACAAAAAATATTTTGGGACAAAAAACTTTTGTATATGATAATGGATTTTTTGAAATTCAAAAACTTTATTTCATCAATTCAAAAGTGTTTAACTTCAACAGAGATAGTGACACATCTAGCTGGGAACCAGGCTTTTTTAGTCAAAAAATTACAATTTAAATTCTTCCAACTTATGCTATGTCAAAAAACCAAAATAAGGTTAACAAATTTAAGATACATCAATAACATTTTTAGCAAACAAGTTAGGGCCGAACCTGGGGGGGGGTGGACCACGCCCCCATGTGCCCCACCCCTCTTGTAGGATGAAATGGAAGGAATCGCGCGCTTGGCTGGGCTTATAATTTTCAGTATTCTCGAACCCCTTTTTATATCAAAAGAATGGCTCTTTGAATGTTTTGCGTGATGTTTTTCATATTGCTAAATATTTTTTGAATATTTGAACTTTGCACAAGGAGTTAGAAAAACGACTTGACAATGTACATTAATTGGTTTCTGCATTTTCATTCATGCTTAAAATGACGTCTACAAAAATCCCCCTCTTCTTTAAATGTACATGTTAACCTTTATGTTCAATGATAAGGGTTCTGTACAATTCCCCTGTACAAACTGTCTATCAGCATTCTATACTCTACCCTTTCTCCGATTAAAAAAGAAAAAATTGCAAGAATTCTTTTGAATTACTTTTCATTAAAAGTAAAAAAAATCAAGGTTCCTGCTAGGACTAAAAAATAGAGGGGGGGGGGGGTTCACGCGCATCAACTTTTGCTGCCAAATGGACGATTTTATTGATCTACCTGAAAAAAGTCACTGAATTCGTTTAGAACATAATCAGATCTTGGTTTGTTTATGTAATATTTAGAATATCTAAACAAATACAAACAAATAAACTACAAAATACCATAAATCTTACATTGATTTAATAAAAGTTTTTGAATTTAAAAAAAAATGTAAAAGTCCTTACAATTCCTTTATCCTCTGTTGTCTCTTCTTGAAAAGATGGGTCAACTCTACAGGATTCCCCAGGGCACTCACCAGGCTCTTTAAAGGGATTGTTAACGAATTTTATTTGTAGAATAATTGCAGAAAACTTTTATCTTGAAATTGAAGAAATCTAGGCTTTTAATTGCTAGTATTTGCTTTAAAAAATCCGGGCCGTCTTTTGTCTTTTAAATCTCTTGTTGTTACTACCGTTTCTCCGTACTTGATGAAACATTGATAAGTTTTTAATACCTGAGTAAACCCGTTCTTATGGAAGTCCCGAATAGAGATGATGTTGCCAAACACAATTTTGTATCTTGTCCTGTATTGTAAAACAAACTTTAGCCAAATATATTAAAAAGAAATGACTTTAAAAACAAAATACGTAAATTGGATTTTTGAAGAAAAAAATATACTACGAATAATCTTTTAATTCCAAATATGTAATTTTATTTTACTTTAGATCTTTCGGCATTGTGACAATAAACTTGTCATCTTTAGCTAATTCCACAGCTGATAGAAACTCTACAATTTTCTCAAGATGCTCTAAATGCCTAAAATACAGTAGTGTCAAGTTTTAAAAAACAAAACAAAAAAATAAGGTCTTACTTTTTCTCTAAGTCCATAAATTCATTTAATTTTCTGCTCATCGCTTCAAAGGCTTCCTGGAACATAAGTCTTAATGCTTGAAAGTCGACTGAAAGAAATTCAAGCAATAAGCATCTTTAAGAAGGTTTATGCGAATTTACGGAGACTTGAACAGATTTTTCTGCCTACATACATTTGCATTAATTGATTTATCTAGGTTTTTCTGCCTACATACATTTGCATTAGTTGATTTATTTAGGTTTTTCTGTCTAAATACATTTGCAATTGATTTATCTAGGTTTTTCTGCCTACATACATTTGGATTAATTTATTTATTTAGGTTTTTCTGCCTAAATACATTTGCATTAATTGATTTATCTAGGTTTTTCTGCCTACATACATTTGGATTAATTTATTTATTTAGGTTTTTCTGCCTAAATACATTTGCATTAATTGATTTATCTAGGTTTTTCTGCCTACATACATTTGTATTAATTGATTTATCTAGATTTTTCTGTCTAAATACAATTAATTGATTTATCCTGGTTTTTCTGCCTAAATACATTTGAATTAATTGATTTATCTAGGTTTTTCTGCCTAAATACATTTGCATTAATTGATTTATCTAGGTTTTTCTGCCTAAATATGTTAGAATTAATTGATTTATCTAGATTTTTCTGCCTAAATACATTTGAATTAATTGATTTATCTAGGTTTTTCTGCCTAAATACCTTAGAATTAATTGATTTATCTAGGGTTTTCTGCCTAAATACATTTGCATTAAATGATTTATCTAGGATTTTCTGCCTACATACATTTGAATTAATTGATTTATCTAGATTTTTCTGCCTAAATACATTTAAATTGATTGATTTATCTAGGTTTTTCTGCCTAAATACGTTAGAATTAATTGATTTATCTAGATTTTTCTGCCTAAATACATTTGCATTAATTGATTTATCTAGGTTTTTCTGCCTAAATACATTTGCATTAATTGATTTTTCTAGGGTTTTCTGCCTAAATACATTTGCATTAAATGATTTCTCTAGGTTTTTCTGTCTAAATACAATTAATTGATTTATCTAGGATTTTCTGCCTAAATACATTTGAATTAATTGATTTATCTAGATTTTTCTGCCTAAATACATTTAAATTAATTGATTTATCTAGGTTTTTCTGCCTAAATACGTTAGAATTAATTGATTTATCTAGATTTTTCTGCCTAAATACATTTGAATTAATTGATTTATCTAGATTTTTCTAGCTAAATACATTTGCATTAATTGATTTATCTAGGTTTTTCTGCCTACATACATTTCATAAATTGATTTATTTAGATTTTTCTGCCTAAATACATTTGAATTAATTGATTTATCTAGATTTTTCTGCCTAAATAGATTTGCATTAATCGATTTATCTAGGTTTTTCTGTCTAAATACGTTAGAATTAATTGATTTATCTAGATTTGTCTGCCTAAATACGTTACAATTAATTGATTTACATAGATTTTTCTGCCTAAATACGTTAGAATTAATTGACTTATCTAGGTTTTCTGGTATGTACTTACACGGTGTAAAGATAAGATATGGATATAGAATTAAACTCGTTATTCAATAAATCACAATGATAAATATAGACTAATTTCTTCATATCTCTGTCAAATTTTGAGGATACAACAATACCTAACCACATTTTAGAAATCTCAAGACAAATAATTTTTTATATGAACTATTTTTTGTTTATAAATAACTACCATACCTTTAAAAACAAAAAATGCGATGTCTGATCAATAATGGGGAAGACATCACCGTTGTTCTATTTTTAAAAGTGTTTAATAATGATAATTTTCTCCTATTATTTGTACAGCAGAAATACGCAAATCAATTTTGTAAATTGAAATTGAAAATGTTGAATCTATAAAAAGAGTAACATAAATATTTATTTCTTCTTGATCAGACAAAGCTTTTAAAACTAACTTTGAGAAAAGGAACAACTAATTTTGTAACTTCAAATTATAACTTAAGTCCCTTTACTAAAGTTTACGCTGACGAATGTTGTAATCCAACCTGTCTTTTCCGCACCTCCTCTTCAGTTAATTCTTGTTGCAAAAACATATTATTATCTGAGAAATCATACATTCAGTTCGAAGAATAAAAAATAAAGGTTTTTTATTTCCAATACAAGGACAATAAGATTTTTTTGAATATATTTTACTAGCTATAGTGTCCGGCATTGCCCGTGGAATTAAAAAAATATTTGGAAAAAATGGGGGGGAGGGAATTTGCATCTTGAAACTAAATCGATTTTGTAGCCTTTGTTATCCCCAGGGATAGCCCATGGATTCCCGCCAAAAAATTAAGCCAATTTGGTTTAGCCGTTTGGGCAGTTATGTCAAATTAACATATATATATATATATATATATATTTACCTAGATCATCATCAGTTGATCCTCTATCGCTGGAATGAAAAATTAGTTATGGAGAACATACATCAATGATCTTTTTAACTATTTTTTTAATTACTTACCTAACCATACTACGGATTGTGCTTGTGGCTCTTCGGACATTTTTCCTATAAACAAACAGAATAAAATAATGAATCATAATTCCAGAAGCATCTTGTATGGTTATTGCAACGAGGTTATATAGTATATAGAGTGATGATGTACGCTAATCCTTTACTAATTGTACAGGCCATGTTCTCCACTTTTGTAAGGTCAATCTGTATATTACAGTACTCAGTGGTGATTTCTGAAAATATTCCATTTAACTATTGAAATCCAATACACCTTTATCGTATGCAGGATTACATTTTCGTTCAGAGAAAACTAAGTAATTCAAGATACAAAACCTCCCCATACAGTTTTACTTCGAAAGCGTACTGCATATTTGATGTTTGTACTGTATGATTAGGCCATAATCTCATAATATCCTTTATCAGTAAACTGTCCCAAGTGTACACTTGGGCTAATACACACGGACAGGTAGCTAAGATCTAACCCCCCTGGGTTATTGGTACTGTCTTTCAAGTTTACAGTGACCCTAATTTTACAATGGCAAATGGCCATGTCTGTTTCCCAAGCGTACCCTTTGATCCTTTATCTGAATCTCCCAACGGTATCCTTTGATCCTTTATCTCGTCGCTTTATCTTGCTAGAATAGTATCTTATTCTCCTTTTGCAGAGAAACCAGTTTTAAAAATAACAAATTCTTAAGAGAAATCATGGAAATTTTATTCACTCTGGATCAGACAACGCTTTGTGAATAGTTGTGAATTGAAAATGCTACCCTAGAAATTTACATAAATAAAGTAGTTATATCTGTTTGCCTGCTGTATTGTGTGTCAGATCACAACTCATGAAACCCTTGACAAATTTACCTAATATTTTAAACTGTTTTAAGCTTTGCAAGCTCTTTGTTGAGTTGGTTGTCTTTTAAAGGAAAACTTAGTTTCCAGAGAAATATGGGTTTCCAAGCTAGCACTGATAAGAAGTGTTATGTTGTTTTAATGCCAAATTATATCTCTGAAACCTCTTGACCAATTTGCCTTAAATTTTGAATAGGGTATTTATTTGCTTTGCTTTATTATAAAGAAGGATTAGGATCCAGGGAAGCTGGGTTCATAAGCTCTAGTATGAATATAACTTTGCAGAAAAAAAAATACAAGTTGGTAGTTGTAACTTGCAGGCATTAATGAATATCAGAAGTTATTAAAAAATACAAGTTGGCAGTTGTAACTTGCAGGGATTAATGAATATCAGAAGTCATGAAAAAAAACAAGTTGGCAGTTGTAACTTGCAGGGATTAATGAATATCAGAAGTTATGAAAAAAAAACAAGTTGGCAGTTGTAACTTGCAGGGATTAATGAATATCAGAAGTTATGAAAAAATATTGTACAATCGACAGGGGTCCCATAAGTCTCATCCTTCTTGAGTATCTTATAGTGGGTGAAGATCAAGGGTGTAATGCAAGGAAAGTTAATTGCGGTCGTGTATACTCTGCGTACATATTGAAACCAGTTCTCAATGGGCGGAATTTGTAAACAAGAATAGATGCATCAGTTTTTATGTGAAAGATGGATCTCATGTCAGGCTGTAACATCCGTCTTGTGTTTACATTACCGCCCAGAGACAGTACACTGAAGTACAAAAGATGTGTACACTTCTGAAATAACTTTCCTTGCCTTACATCCTTGGTGAAGATGATCTACCTAAGAATATGATATGCTGAGTGTCGGCTTCTATCCACCTCCTCAATCCTCTCAACTCCCTCAACTTCTACTAAAACAAAAATAATTTAAAGCTTAACTTTGGCATTTTATATTTTATAGGATTTTTTTTTTAAATTACAGAATCCCAATCTTTTACCAAATCTGAAATCTGAAAGAAAAACTGTAACGACTATATCATTTGAACAAAATATTCAAAAAAATATATAATTATGAAACTCTATATATACAGAAAAAAACAATTTAAGTTAACTTTTCTTATTTTTTTTATTTACCTGAAGAAATTCGCTCAATCTCTTCCCCTATTCAAATTGTCATTTATAGAATAAATAAGACTTATATCTTCGGTCAGTGTACTGCAAATTACTACAGAACGCACCGAAAGCTTAGTTGAGGATGAAATATCTTGTCCATGGGAAGTAATTAATGAAAAACGATGAAATTCTAGAAAATATTTAATTTTTAAAAAATCATTCTTAATTTGAATTTCCTAGAGAATCAACATTGGGCCTTCTATGCGTCCTGGTAAGGCTTGTATTAGATTCATAACTAGCTCGAGAACTCATCTTTTTATTTCCTTTAAAACAAATAAAATAATCATAATTAGACAAAAGTGAAAAGCTAAATGTGCAAACAGAGATCGGAACTTTTATGTAGAAATTGTTAATCATGAATGCTTGATCTCGGTATCCGATGTGGGCATTTTTAAATTTGAGGATCAATGCTGGATTCCTTAGTTAAAGTTATCCCTGCAGATAATAACCATACGGGATATCGAAGAGGAATCAGGTTAATCCTTAGAAATTCCAATAAGATGAAGATTAATTCCTGTAAGATGGAGATTAACTCTTATAAGATAAAGATTAATTACTATAAGATGAAGATTAATTCCTATAAGATAAAGATTAATTACTATAAGATAAAGATTAATTACTATAAGATGAAGATTAATTCCTATAAGATAAAGATTAATTACTATAAGATAAAGATTAATTCCTATAAGATAAAGATTAATTCCTATAAGATGAAGATTAATTCCTATAAGATGAAGATTAATTCCTATAAGATGAAGATTAATTACTATAAGATAAAGATTAACTCCTATAAGATGAAGATTAATTCCAATAAGATGAAGATGAATTCCAATAAGATGAAGATTAATTCCTATAAGATGAAGATTAAATCCTATAAGATGAAGACTAATACTTGATCCCCAGATTCAAAACACAAAAGTTCCAACTACGGAAACTGAAAATGTGCAAGAGAGAAAACTTGAAATGAGTTTACAGTTTATTCAAATTTTAGTTTTCAATGAATTTAATGTAATATTTTATTTCAATAAATGATGACACTGTTTGTTTATTACCGAATAACAATTGAACATATTTTCCTGTGTTATCAAACTATACATATATCCGGAATCAACTACTGCAACAATTTAGGCCAATACAAATATTGGTAATTAATATTAATTAAATCATAGTTAAAGAGACTGTAAAGGAAAAATGAAAGGGGGTATAGGCTAAAACCTGAGAATCTTAGGTTTTGAACGATACCTTAAAGACATCCATCTAATGTTCTTGTCTCGAGAAATTGATATAAAACCATGTCAAAATTATACCAAAACGTAGATAGTTTAGATAATGTATAAGATTTGTAGTATTTAACAGATCATATATTAAACAATACGCAACCAATCTGAAAACAACGATATCCCAGAGGAGTCTGAGAAACTCAAGTTTGCTCTTATTTATTTGAATTTAATAATTTTTCATTTTAATAGATATAATTGATAATATTATTTATGCGTCCAGAACATGTCACCTGAACTCCAACCAATGGCAGTTCAGTATTATTGTCATGTGTCTCCGTATCACGTGACCAGTATACTGCATTATTACCTTGCGTGATACGGGCGTATATCTTACATATATACCTTTGGTATAATTTTAACACAGTGCGGTTGTATATTAATTTCTCGAGACAGGAACATTAGATAGATGTCTTATATGTATCGTTCAACGCCTGAGATTATCAGGTTTCAGCCTATACCCCCTTTCATTTTTCCTTTACAGTCCCTTTAAGCATATGTATGTATTTGGGAATTATTGGCCTTAAACTTAATGTGTTCAAAATTAAAATAAATTCTCAGTCGAATTTTTAGTTTTTTCTTAAATAGTAAAGGATAGTAAATTAGATATAGCCTATTCTTTTTCAACCAAAGGAGTTGAGTCTTCTCCACAAAATGTGATTTTCTAATTTCTATATTTTAGAACTCAATGTAGCACAGCTTATAATATTTCAAACTAAGAATTCTGTTAATAGATCAGATAATCAAAGTTTGAAATATCAAAAGTTTACACCGTCAAGTTGCCAATATTTAGAGTTAAGAAAATCTAAGATTTAAATCGAAAAAAATCGAAAAAAATTGTCTGGAAAGTTCTAAAGATAGATAGATAAATGGAAAGGTTGGCAGACAGATAAAAGAGAGTATTGTTAGCTAGCAGGTGTGTGCCCAGGTATAGGCGAGGGAGGGACGATGAGAAGAGGGGGGAGGGAGTGGAAGGATGGGCGAGGCCGGTTACTGAGCTGAGCGGAGTGTATCCAGGTATAGTTCAGCTACAGTATTGTCCTAGGTTAGAGAAGTAGAACAGCTGTGTTATATCTGATCGAACACTGTACTATGTACGTACATTTTACACAACTATATAGTGTAGAGTGTAAGCTGATACGACCGTACAGCCTACAAATGTACATTGCACAGTATAGTTTGTACATAAAAAGTGAAAAAGTGTATATTTGTGTTGTATATATTTACTAAAATTACAATTAAACCACATTTTTAACGCTTTCTTTAAGAACTTAGTTAAAATTCCACTGTAATATTATTAAATATCTTAAAAACAAAATGTAAGCTGTAGTTATACCTAATTTTTAGGTTAAAGTCCTGTTTTCTACAGGATTTTTAGGTTAAAGTCCTGTTTTCTACAGGATTTTTAAGTTAAAGTCCTGTTTTCTACAGGATTTTCCAAAAAACATGGAAATTGAGTGATGAGTCAGAGATCGTCAGTTTAAATGAAGTTTGATTAAGTTAAATGATTAAGTTAAATGATTAAGTTAAATAATTGAGTTAAAAAATTAAGTTAAATGATGATCCATATTACATATTGGGATTCAAAGCTTCAATTCGTAGATTGCTTTGTCTGCTTGAGTTCAGATTTGTTTGTTTATGTTTTGATTATAAAATGCTAAACCAACTACAATATATAATTTACATTTCAGGGCGGTTTATAGATTTTGTGTGAAAAATCGGAATAATAAAACAGGATTTTACCAAAAAATAGACATAACTCTAGCAGGACCAGACATTCTTATATAATGTGTTTTAAAATTGTGACTCCAAATCAGCCGTCATTTGACATTACTAAGCTTTCAGCATTTTAACCCCAATTACATATAAAATTGAAATTATGATATTTTCTGTGAAAATTTATCTGCTTTTGCAAATATTAACTGATAAATTGATGGTTTCATAATTGATTTTATTATTATAAAGATTTATTCACACACAAAGATATAAATACATATATATATAAATGGTGCAGTTAAAATTTGTTTAAATAATTTTTTTTGAAAATACAGGTTTCCAAAAGAAAAGAGAAAAAATATGCAAAATTATGCACAAATAGAAAACATTGATTTTTAAATATAAATAAATTATAAATATAATAATCTATCGTAAAAGAAAAATCAGTATTCTTGCACAGCGGCCATGATCAAGCTCATGATCAATGATTATTGATTATAATGGAAAAGACACTATTGTGTGTGTTGAGTTCTTGATATTTTACTACAGATAGTTTTGGGCGGATTAAAAACAAACTAGGTAATGGAACAAAAATATTGGTTTCTGAAATATGAATAAAACCGGGTTTTCGATCATTGGTTTATGATACAGGCACAGACTAGTTATACACAGACTGCTCATAAGCTTTCACTGGATAGGCTAAGCAGGCCTATAGCTGTCCAAGCACAACATGCTACATTACCACGAAAGGTTTTTGACTGCCATCTAACGGCCTCTTATTGAATATAAAACCGATTCAAGGGGTATGTTGTACAATTTTTGAAAAAATACTCTAACTTTTTAATTTAAAACATAAAATTTATGAATTTAGTCTATTTTTGAAGGTTTTGTAATTCGTATCCAAAGGATCTTTAAATATCCCTGAATACAGAAGTGTGTTTATTGGTCGTGTACTTCAGTTGTACACAATGGAACCTTCTGTGGAAAATATCGCATATTCTAACTTTTAATAGATCTCTGTACAGTGTACACCCTATCTTATTTCTGGTTACGGACCATGCGAGTACTGTACGTACCAGGCGAGTACTGTACGGACCAGGCAAGTACTGTACGGACCAGGCGAGTACTGTACGGACCAGGCGAGTACTGTACGGACCAGGCGAGTACTGTACACAACTTAAGTCGTGGATTCCTAAAGAGATCAATTCCTTAATTCAATAGCGTTTAAAAAACAAAGTTAGACCTCATACTTAATTACTACAAAAGTACGTAAAGCAAAACATAAATTAAAAATCAATACTTGAAGGTTAGATAATATAGGCTCTCTGACCTGGACCTGGAATTACCGTGCTATGATTTAAACCGGAAATATATTTCAAATTAATCACACTCAGCCTGATTTATTTTTAATGATTTATAGGGTTTTTAGATAGTTTCTATATCCATCTATATGCAATACAATAAACTGTACGTACACGTACAGGGTGTCCCACATAAAATTAGACCGCGTCAATGGGTCTAAATTACGATTTGGGGGACAAATCAGAAAATTTAAGAAGAATGAATCATTTTGAAAAATTTAATAAGTCTAATAGAAATTTTTTTTGCAGAAAATGCTAGATTTTTTTAGTATAATGTGCGTATTTAGGTGTTAAAGATTGGAGATAATCTAATATGATATGGGACGCTCTGTATCTAATATCTATCTATCTATATATCTATATTGAATAAGAAGTTTGAGTGTTAACTAACTCTGAACTGCATCCTGTCAAGTCTATGCTTGAAATCTATGCAAATTAAAGATCTGCAAGTTGAAAAATCAAACATTTAGATTTAAATTGGATGGAATTGTCACATTTTCATTCCAGGGGGGGGGGGTCTAACATGTACAATTCTAGAGTTGACTTAATATTGAAAGAAAATACTTTAATTCTTGAAGATTTTAGCTTGTAATATTCATCTAAACTGATATGGGGATTCGACATGAATTAATATGTTAACATTTCAGGGGAAATAGATTCAAATAGAAAGTGAGAGAGAAGGAAAGGATAAATGAAAGAGAAGGGAAGGATTAATGAAAGAAAGAGTAGGGAAGGATTAAATAAAGAGAAGGGAAAGATAAATAAATGAAAGAGTGGGGAAAGATTAATGAAAGAGTAGGGAAAGATAAATGAAAGAGAAGGATAGGATTAAAGGGAGTGTTCGCGAAAAATGAAAGTGGCTATAGGCCTAATGCGATAAAAAAGCGCTTTTGATCGCTACTAATCTTACTTCTATCTGTTGCGTCTATAAGGAGAAAATTGTTAAAACCGACTTATACCGAAGAACGTAACGTCAATACAAATGCAGAAAGTTGCAACTCGGATCGTAAAAAAATCAATTTAATTAACCAAACAAATCATTCAGTTATTACAACCGATAATCATCCATAATTTTTCGACGCATTCGTATTTAGTTGATATTTCATATTTTTTTCTATTTTTGATAGTTACTGTTATTCCTATTTCGAGGATTTTTAATAATGAAGACGACATTTTCATATTTTCCAGGAATGTTCGAAAATCCAGCGCCAGAGAAATATCTTTAAAAAAACGAAATCAAAAATATTATAAAATATCAACTATATACAAATGTGGCGAAGATAATCGATGACTATAGGTTGTAATATCTGAATGATTTGTTTGAAATTAAATTGATTTTTTACGGTCTAAGTCGTGTGTTGCAATTTTCTCAATTTGTATGGACGCTAAGTTATTCGGTATGAGACGTCATTAACAATTTTCTCCTCATAGACGCAACAGATAGAAGTAAGATTAGTAGCGATCAAAAGCGCTTTTTTATCGCATTAAGCCTATACCCCCTTTCATTTTTCGCGAACACTCCCTTTAAAGAAAGCGAAGGCCGGGAGGGATAAAAGAAAGAGAAGAGTAGGACAAAAGAGAGAAAAGGAAAGGATAAAAGAAACAGAAGACAAGGATGAAATAAATAGAAGAGAAGAGTAGGATAAAAAGAAAGACAAAGGAAGGATAAATGAAAGCAAATAAAAGGCTAAATAAAAGAAAAGAGAAGGATAAAATAAATGGAAGGGAGGGATAAAAGAAAGAGAAGAGTAGGATAAAAAGAAAAACAAGGGAAGGATAAATGAAAGCAAATAAAAGGCAAAATAAAAGAAAAGAGAAGGATAAAATAAATAGAAGGGAAGGTTAAAAGAAACATAAGAGAAGGATAAAAGAAAGAGAAGGGAAATGTAAAAGAAAGAGAAGAAAAGGCCAATTAAAAGAAAATAAAAGGATAAATAAATAGAAGGGAAGGATTAAACAAAGAGAAGGGACAAATTAAAGAAAGGGGAGAAAAGAATCAAAGAAAGATATGGGAAGGATAAAAGAAAGAAAAGAGTAGGATTAAAGAAAAATAAGTGAATGATAAAAGTAAGAGAAGGGAGTTATTAATGAAAGAGAAGGTAAGTTAAAAAAAAGACGAGGAGAATAAAAGTAATAAAAGAGAAGAATATATGTGAAATTAATTCAAATCTCAATATATCAAAAATTTAATTTGTTTACTATCAGAGCCGGCGAAAATACGACTTGGGTCTAAGCTGTCGTAGGGCCTTATTATGGCTTGAACTTTCAGATTCAAGCTGGCTATTTACATATAAACGCAGAGATGCGTCAACATTTATCTCAAAGGATTTTGTCCTATGTATTACTAATAGTGTACAAACGTGAATTATTAAATTGCATATTTGTATAGAATTTTAAAAGCAAAAGATGCGTAAACATTATTTCAGCAAATTCTAGAATTAGACTAGGTTTATTTTAGTGAAAATGGGAGCACCTTTGAAGAATCCCTCCTGCATAGCAGACCTTCCAGATAAGGTAATATTTTTTAAAATAATATTTTTTTAATTTTTGTATGTCAAGCTAAGAATACGTTAATAGAATCAAGAAGTTTAAAGTGAAGCTGGTTGTTTTAATCCATATCATTTGACGATATTTTTTTTCATTTTGATGCTAAAATACGTTTGGAAAGCGTTAGTCGAACTGGAAAATATCCTACTTTCATGCAAATAAATGTCGTATTCGTGTTTTTAAATTGTTATATATTACTTGGATTTTTTAGGTTTTGCTGAGAGTTTTTTCATTTTTGAGCCACAGGGATATGATGAAATACTCAATAGGTAAACTAATTAATTATTCAATAGATAAACTAATTAATTACTCAATAGGTAAACTAATTATTTACTCAATAGGTAAACCAATTAATTACTCAATAGGTAAACTAGTTAATTACTCAATAGGTAAACTAATTAATTACTCAATAGGTAAACTAATTAATTACTCAATAGGTAAACTAATTAATTATTCAATAGGTAAACCAATTAATTACTCAATAGGTAAACTAGTTAGTTACTCAATAGGTAAACTAATTAATTACTCAATAGGTAAACTAATTAATTACTCAACAGGTAAACTAATTAATTACTCAATAGGTAAACTAATTAATTACTCAATAGACATACTAATTAAATACTCAATAGGTAAACTAATTAATTACTCAATAGGTAAACTAATTAATTACTCAATAGGTAAATTAATTAATTACTCAATAGGTAAGCTAATTAATTACTCAATAGGTAAACTAATTAATTACTCAATAGGTAAACTAATTAATTACTCAATAGGTAAACTAATTAATTACTCTATAGGTAAACTAATTAATTACTCGTCTCAAACTCTAATTTTTAAATGTCTCAGCCTTTTTATATCAATGTAAACCTTAGTTCGTATACCTTTAATATTTTAAACAATAAGATCATAAAGGTTTATACTATAAGGTTACAAAGTTATAAATGGTATCGGAATGAGAGTTTGAATCGGGTAATAAAGTACTTTAAAATTGCCCAATAGCGAAAGTATTTAAAAAAATGCGTCACTTTCTGCATTTAATAACTTATGTAAAACTTATAAATGGAAGCACTGCAAACTAGATAGACATTGTCTATATGAATCTTATTCTCATCCCAAAGGGGACAAGAGAATCCCAGTACAGTACGAATTTACGGAGCGGGCCAGTACAAAGAAATTGAGTCTTTGTCACAAACTATGATTTTCTAATCTCTATATCTTTGTAATCCAATGCCGTAGAACTTAGATATGTCAAACTATGAATTCTGTTAGATGAAAAATCTAAGTTTGAAATATCAAAGTTTTACACCATCAGGTGGAAAAAAATGTAAGTATTAGAAAATCAGAGTTTGTTACAAAGACTCAATTCCTTTAGAAAGCGTATATTCCCGGCCGAATACCTGGATTGGAGTGATTTACAAAACTAATGTAATCTCAATATTCAGAAATTAAGATTATTTTTTAACATATTTTTTGTTGTTTTTTAGTTTGTAAAAAATGGAAGATGATTGCACAAGATTCAAGACTTTGGGGGTTCGTTTCCCTTCGACCAGAAATATCAGGACTCTCTGTTCAAAATCAAGGTTGAAAAATAGTATTTACATGTATCTATGCATATTCTATCGAGGATTAAGGTTCAACAGACGTCTACAAAATCGAATTTTCAAGATTGAGACCACTTCAAAAATCTCCATTAATAGGCGGCGTGTGAGATTAAATGTTAAATCTGTTTCCAACTTAAGCGAGTAAATTGGCATAATTAAATTTCGTATTTCGTATTTTGATCTAACATCAAAAATAGCCTGTTTAGAAGCAGTATGAACCAGGTCAGCTATTATACTCCTGGTGTTGGCCTGAACTAGCATACCCGAATAATCGACCTGTCGTTCTTAATGGTAGATCTAGGGCCCAGGAGTGTCTTGCTGTAAATATAGTGTTTAGCAATATTTAAACAAGATTGTAAATCTTCAATATCCAATATCAAACCCTCCTGTAGACATCTATACAGATTATTTACGTTGATATGTTCATAAAGTTGATATCTACCACATTGCATACCTAGATGGTTGATAAAGTTGATATCTAACAGATTATAAATCTATATATGTTGATATTATTGATATCTACCAGATTATATACCTAGATATGTTGATAAACTTTATATCTACCACATTATATACCTAGATATGTTGATAAAGTTGATATCTACCAGATTATATACCTAGATATGTTGATAAAGTTGATATCTACCAGATTCACCACAAATCTACGCTACCTAGAGCTACCATGTGATCTAATAACAAGAGAAGTTCTCCAAGGAATTGATATTTTTCTTTAAACGATCAATCTTTTATTTAACAAAAAACATATTAATCAACATATCCAACGATATAAACGTATTATTCAACTTAAAGCTTTTTTTTGCTTTTCTGAAAATCTTTAGTTTTGTTTTGATTTCGTTTAATAACCTTTCTGTAGATATAGAAAGAAAAAAACAGTCTCTTGTTTTAATTTCCTTTTTTATTTTGATTCCATTTTTTCTCTTTAGTTTGATTATGAGTTTAAAATAAAGATATCTTCAGAGCTGGCGAATAAATGTCCAAACCTGACCCATCTTCTTCTAGGTATGATACATTCTAGCATTCATCATTTTTATCTTTTTATAAATATTTTAAACCTGACCCATCTGCTTCTAGGTAGGATACACTCTAGCATTCATCATTTGTATCTTTTATAAATATTTTAAACCTGAGCCATCTTCTTCTAGGAAGGATTCATTCTAGCATTCATCATTTGTATCTTTTTATAAATATTTTAAACCTGACCCATCTTCTTCTAGTTAGGATTCATTCTAGCATTCATCATTTGTATCTTTTTATAAATATTTTAAATCTGACCCATCTTCTTCTAGTTAGGATTCATTCTAGCATTCATCATTTTTATCTTTTTATAAATATTTTAAATCTGACCCATCTTCTTCTAGGCAGGATACATTCTAGCATTCATCATTTTTATCTTTTTATAAATATTTTAAACCTGACCCATCTTCTTCTAGGCAGGATACATTCTAGCATTCATCATTTGTATCTTTTATAAATATTTTAAACCTGACCCATCTTCTTCAAGGCAGGATACATTCTAGCATGCATTATTTTTATCTTTTTATAAATATTTTAAACCTGACCCATCTTCTTCTAGGTAGGATACATTCTAGCATTCATTATTTGTATCTTTTTATAAATATTTCAAGGATTAAAAAAAACCCTAAAAAATAATGAACAGTCTGATTCTCCGGTGTACAATTCTTCACAAACTAAATTGAAAGGAATTGAGTCTTTGCCACAAACTAAAATTTTCTAATACCTATATCTCTACAACTAGATACTGTAAACATTTGATATTTCAAACTTAGATTATTTGATCCATCAGAATTCATGGTTCGAAATAACTTAGGTTGTAAAGATGTAGGGATTAATAAATCAGAGTTTGGGACAAAAACTCAATTCCTTTGTTATTCTATAGTTTACATATTTCAAAGTTTTTACCCTCTAAATACATAATTTATTATTTAACTCTAATATTTATGGAAATGTATATTTATGTTATTATGCATATTTAATTTAGATTTTTGTCTTTAATCTGAATTTAAGTCTGAGACATTTTCCTATTGTCCGTTTGTTTCCAATAAACGTCAAGACTGCTGAGCCGATCGGGCTCAAATTATTAGTCCAAAAGTTTTTGACCTTTGTTAAATTTTAAAATGCGCAAAAAAGTATTATTAAATCTTTGACATTTTTGTTATTGTTTTATATTGTACAAAGAGAAGATGCTCAAAGACAGAGACAGAATTAAAAGTTTAAGTAGAAGATGGTTAAAGCCTAGTATAGATATATATTATATATATTGGAAACTAGATGAAGTTCCACGTTTAAATCGAATTTTGAAAGAAAAAAATCGATTTCTGAAAAATAAAATATTTTGAAAAAAACTAAGTTTTAGCCTTTGATACTTCTGGGGTACTCAAGAGTTCCCTGAAAAAAAAATCAGCCAATTTGATCTAGCCGTTTGGCCAGCTATAGTTAACATACAAATACAGATATATATATTTTTATAAGAGCAAAGAGCTTAATTAAATAGATATGCTTTTTTTCTAGATTTTTCTCACGGCGCCCAGTTGGCAGATTTCTCAGAGCTTAATGCTTTCCCTACCAAGATTAAGTATCTTTGCCTTTGTTTAAGTGAGGTAACAAAAAATATTTATTTTAGTTTAATTGGTTGGATTCATTCAGATATAAATATATGATCACCTATCTCCATGTCAGGGTGTTTGTAATATGTATTTGATGTAATAGATATTCTAAACTAGAGTTTAATTGGTTGGATTCATTCAGTTTTAGATATATGATCACCTATCTCCACGTTGAGATGTTTGTATTTGATTTAATTGATATTTTAAACTAGAGTTAAGACTATATTTGCGCTGATAATATTATTTCAATTTGTCAATTTATCGTTATTTACTTTGCAATTGTTACAGGGTGTTATTACTTTGTGCTTGTGCCGATATATTTTTGTCATTGGCATTGACTTTGAAAACATCATTAAATTTGATAGTGTGATGGTTGACAATCTTTGTCAAACTTGTTTCTTTCTAGAATATTTTAAAGATTGTGTAAGTTCAGGTGACCATCCATGCAAAGATGGCAATGCCCGATATACAACTGTATCAAACAATAATCAGATCAAATGTGAATTAGATATCCAATTTTTGTATGTATTCAAACTGTTTTTGTTTTTATTTCTTGTTCTCTGCTAAAGTGACTTCCGCATTTCTAACTTATAAGAAAAAAGGAGAATTTGCAGAAATAAACACTTTTTGATTCAGATAAACCACGTTATCTTCCACATTCTTATCAAATGAAGGTTTCAAGGGTGCCGTTGTAAATCGGACATTGATAGCTTCGCATGGAGAGTCACTTAAAATTACGCGTTGAGTCCCTTTAACCGTTAATTTTTGCACATTCTTTTTTATTTGTTTTTAAAATAGAATTTAAAGAAAATACGAATCCATTTTTGTCTAGGTTATTTTTTTGGATAACTTTATGAAAAAGATTTACAACTTTATAAACGGGACAGAGATGTTACATCTTTATGGAACTTATGAACAGGTTGGATTATAACATATTCTTTGTACACCCTGCCATCCTCAACTGTTTTTCACAATTTAACGAACAATGAAATATAGACCTACACAAATCCAAAATGGTCATTACATTACATAAACATAATTTGCTTTTTAAAGGTTCGTTGGTTTGTTTTTATATTGTTTTCATATTGTTTAGCGACTAAAACGAAAAGCTAGAAATTTATCTGAAAAAAAATTATGTCATTTTGGTTTGGCAATTTTTTCAAAAAGCTCAAATCCGTACAGTTTGTGGTCCAGCAGATTAAGTTAATTCCTTTCTGAAATCTTTAAAGATTATTGAGAACTACGGAGCACCTGTTTTTTCACGATTCAAGGTTCAAATTACAAATTAGATACTATATGGAATGAATTGGATACATAATTCTGGCAATGTAGAGTAGTGCCATTTTGTTTCTTGACTTTTTTTACTCTTTAACTTTTGCATTTTTGAGACGAAAAAGGATTTAAAACAAATTTTTGCTTTAGCAAAAAAAAATCTATTTTTCTTGTCTGATAGGGAGAGGAGGAGGAGGGGGAGGTTTATGAGGTTCTAAACATCAGGAAATTATGGATTTTCTAATTTTTTAAATATTTTTTTTTACTTTTATTTTTTGAACAATTTACTTTTCTACTAATTTGAGAAAAAATCCACCTTAGGACACTGAAGCAAGCTACTCCTAACCTTAGGTAATATTTGTACCTTGTTTTTTTCCTTCGTTTTAGTATTTTTTGTTTCTATTATACGTATTGTATTTTATTTTGTATTTAATCTAATTAAATCTAATATATTAGGATATTAGGGCGCTGCGCGCTCATATTTTATTTCAGCATAATAAAAACATAATAAAAAAGTTGCTGATATACAATTTTTTGTGGATTTTCAAAATTTTACGAAAAACTAAAATTTTTTGAGACAACTTTTGTAAGTATGAGAATCTATAAACCTTCCCTGGGGTCATGTGAGGTGCCACACAAATTTGGGCCCGATCGGTTCAGCCGTTTTGACGTTTATTGTATACAAACTGACAGAAAAACAAGTAAAATATATACATAGAAGATTTTTTTATGTAGAGTTATAAATTTGTACGGAGTTAGCTTTGTGGATGATTCTCATATAGAAGCATTCAGGTAAAAGAACGTAAAATTAATATTGTAGATTAAACTTTTTTTTTACATAGTTTAAAAACTTTCTATTGTAGTTCTAATTGTATTCAGCTCAGTGTTTTGATAGTCAACTACTGCAGCAAGGTAGACATTTTATAGTGAAATTTTTAAAAATTTATGGTTTTCAGATATTAAGAAAAATGTTAATAAACTTGTTGCGAAGGTTTATTTAATCTAATATTAAGGTCCAGGGAGCAAGCCTCAAGATTCTAATCCAGCGTTGCAAATTTTTGAGGTGAAATTCAATAATTCAAATACTAATATTCAGTTAAACTTTGTAAATGTATTAAACTATAGTTTCAAAGGCGGTTTCCGCCCTGATTTATAGTAACAAGGTTCACATAGATTCAGCCTCCTTATAAACAGTCTCATCAATTTTTAAGACAGGGCTGACTTTGAAGTGTCGCAACGCCCTAAGCTTAAATTTTACCGCTCTAACCCACTTATGCTTTTCTGTAGCCCTTTACATGTAAATTTTAGCACTGTAAAGCACTTGTTGTTAGATGTGGTTTTTACGAAGTTATTGGCAAAATTCTCAACGATTTTTGTTTGAGAGCGTGAGACCATTAAATCGCAGTGGGTTGTTTTGTCTTGTTACTGGTTTATCTGCTCTGCAGGCCTTTCTTCTTTTTACACTTAAAATATTTTATCAATAAAAGAATTGTTTCACAAGTAGAATTTAATTAACATCATTGTACAGGGTGTCCCCTATCAATTCGGACTAATAAAGAGATCGTTTTCCATAAAAGACGATATTCTTTGGAGATGCGCTTACTAAGTTTTCAAAATATCTATCTATCTCATCTGGATTTCATTTGGTACAAAAGTACAAAGTTACTGTTTTAACAATGGCGGCCGAACTAAGATTTACCGTTGAACAAAGAACTTTTATAAACTACATGTTCATCAAATTTTCGCATGTTAAAGTGACGCAAAGGGTCCATGAAGGCCACGGATGAAAGTGTCCTGCTTGAGGGTCCCCATGTTTATGTTAAATAAATGTGACATGTTAATTATTGTCTGCTAGAGTTCTAAGCTACAAGTTTCAGAGTTTTATCTATAATGACGATGAATAAATTAATATCGTCGTCCAAAAAACGAGCCCGTTAATTAGTCCGATTTGATATGGGACACCCTGTATTAAAATTTTCTCGTGCAATTTTTTTAAATTTTATGTTTCTGACTGAGTTACCAAGAAAACAATTTAGCCGCAATTGGTTCTATATAGATACAAACTGGTAGACAAACAGACAAGCCAAATGTTTATTAGATACAAACTGGCAGACAAACAGAGAAGCCAAATGTTTATTAGATACAAACTGGCAGACAAACAGACAAGCCAAATGTTTATTGGATACAAACTGTCAGACAAACAGACAAGCCAAATGTTTATTAGATATAAACTGGCAAACAAACAGACAAGCCAAATGTTTATTAGATACAAACTGGCAAACAAACAGACAAGCCAAATGTTTATTAGATACAAACTGGCAGACAAACAGACAAGCCAAATGTATATTAGATACAAACTGTCAGACAAACAGACAAGCCAAATGTTTATTAGATACAAACTGGCAGACAAACAGACAAGCCAAATGTTTATTAGATACAAACTGGCAGACAAACAGACAAGCCAAATGTTTATTAGATACAAACTGACAGACAAACAGACAAGCCAAATGTTTATTAGATACAAACTGAAAGACAAACAGACAAGCCAAATGTTTTTTAGATACAAGCTGACAGACAGACAGGCAAGCCAAATGGTTATTAGATACAAACTGAAAGACAAACAGACAAGCCAAATGCTTTTTAGATACAAAATGACAGACAAACAGACAAGCCAAATGGTTATGTATATATCTACGGCAAATTAATATTTAGATGCTTCAATCTACAATAATCTAATATTTAGATGTTCGATGATGCAACCAATTAATATTTAGATGCTTGATGCTGCAAAAATCAATATTTAAATAATTGATGCTACAATAAACTAATATTTAGATGTTTGATGCTACGATAAACTAATATCTATAAATATGAATATACATCTATAGATGCAGCTTGATGCTACAATAAACCAATATTTAGATGTTTGATGCTACGATAAACTAATATCTATAAATATGAATATACATCTATAGATGCAGCTTGATGCTACAATAAACCAATATTTAGATGCTTGATGCTTCAACAAACAAATATGTAAATGCTTAATGCTACAATAAACCAATATTTAGATGTTTGATGCTTCAACAAACAAATATGTAAATGCTTGAGGCTAAAATGAACTGATATTTAGATGCTTAATGCTACAATAAACCAATATTTAGATGTTTGATGCTTCAACAAACAAATATGTAAATGCTTAATGCTACAATAAACCAATATTTAGATGCTTGATGCTTCAGCAAACAAATATGTAATTAAATGCTTGATGCTAAAATAAACTGATATTTAGATGCTTAATGCTACAATAAACCAATATTTAGATGCTTGATGCTTCAACAAACAAATATGTAAATGCTTGATGCTAAAATAAACTGATATTTAGATGCTTAATGCTACAATAAACCAATATTTAGATGCTTGATGCTTCAACAAACAAATCTATTGGCTGAGAATGTTATGGCTGTTGAGTGGGATAATGCCTCAAATCTACGGGTAAAAATAAAAGTTTATTTTTGATATATTGTAATTGTGAGATCACCATGTGCTCAGTAACATTAAACTTAACATAAGGAGAATTAAATCGGGACAAAGTATAATTCAGTGTAGTATAATTTTAGATCACCCGAAATTTATGTTGTAGCTCTTAATCTTCGAATTTTAACAATTTTAATTTTCGATCTTAAAGATCGTTTTGTCTTATCATTTGCAAAAAGCTGGAAAAACATTGATTTGTTTAAAAATTGGAAACCATATTGAACTTAAATGTGCATGCTCTACCGAAAAATTTTATCAGGATATTTCCCGTTACTCCTTTTAAACTGAAAAAAAACGCGTCATAGTTATAAAATGTACAAATAGTGATTAAAAATCAAACGACAAATCCTTGCAGCACCTTAAAGCCGGCCTGGTCATGAAAATTGTAAATTTTCATTGCTGACTGAATCTCTGTCATATATCTAAATATTTTCTGCATAGTTGAAACTCTGTTCACAAAATTGAAGAAAATTTGTAAATATTAATCAAATCATTCCGTCAACATTTATCATTAGCAACGGAGCAAAGGATTTTGAGAAAAATTGATTTATTAACACATTCATTCATAAATGTAGATATTTATAGAGTTATTCACAAATTTATCTCCTAATTTATTAACTATTCACAGATTTATTTTCACATTCATTCATAGATTTATTCATCGAGTTATTCACAGATATATCTGCTAATTTATTAACCATTCACAGATTTATCTTCACATTCATTCATAGATTTGTTTAAAGAGTTATTCATAGATTTATCTGCTCATTTATTAACTATTCACAGATTTATCTTCACATTCATGATTTATGTATAGATTTAGCTACTTATTTATCTACAGTTTACAGATGTTTTCACGGAATTATCTTACAAATTAAAAGCTGGAGAAATAAAATAGACCAATGTGAATTGGGTTTAGAATTCTTTAATTTAATAGTATTACTTGAAATTATGTTACAGTCCCTTTAATTCTAGGAACTTGATATAACTGCCACGGATCTGTCGAAGGACTGTTTAGTCGACCTACTTACCAGGGATAATTAGCTTACTCATTACATCTATAAATGATTCGAAAAGAAGTTTTATTTAGTGCTTATAATGTGTAATGTTATAAAGGTAATTTTGTTTTGCTAATTTGACAAAACTATGTTTGTGTGGTGTAATTTTATTTTTAAATGTCGCACATGATTTCTTATTGCACAGTACGGTCTCTGGCCGGACTAGGACTGGGCACGCTTAGACTTTTTTCAAACCGTTCGATCGATACCGGTTTGCTAAAATCGTTCAAAACACCAATTTTTCAGAAATCTGTTCATTCTCAGCTAATCCTATAAAAAAGCGGAAAAATTAGAAACAATATTCAAACAAATCAAAATTATTTTCCATTCTTTTGTTCATGAACGATTATCTTTGTTCACTAACGATTTAAAAATTTACATTTGTTGCCGTTCGTTAAGGAAACGCTGCCCAGCCCTAGGCCGGACCGGTACAAAATTACTTAACTAGGCAGTAGGCCCACTAGAGGGCCCCGGCTTCCAAGATTAGAATGATAAGCTTCTATATTAAAACAGGGTCCCCCAGCTGGAATGGTTATCTGCTGGTCAGCTCGACGGTATTTAATTAATTGATTATTTGATTAATTCATTTGTTTGATTTTTATATAACTATAAATCAAATGATGTTTTTTCATTTAATTTATAAAGTTTATTTAACAGCTTTAAAAAATTCGAAATTGAAATGGATAGTCTAGGGAACATACTGTATACTCTACTGCATATAATTTGTGAACAGTTACATGATTTGTACACTTTGAACTTCCTTTCAGGCTGAAAGGGACTGACAAAATTCATACCAATGGATTGTTTAAATTCCACTCTAATATATATTCTATTCTCTATTCTCAACTAAACAATTTAGATTTATCTTTAAAAACTAGAATTATTTTTTTAAATCCTTTTCGAGCATTTGCGGAATTGACAAAATTGACTTTGAAAAATGTTTCTAAATTAAACCGAAATTTTCCTTTTTGTATCCGTAAAGGGAGAGTAAGCGTAAGTTTAAGCGACCCTCCAAACAAAGATAGAAATTTCGTATTCACAACGGTACCCTGGACAGCCTTGTCTAATCAAGTATGAATTAGAACTCCATTTTAAGTTTTGAAAACTTTTATTTTCCTTCCTGGTTTTTCTGGAAAAGTGAACTGCTTTTCTTTTTGAACAGATTAAAGTGTCAAGGGTACCGATGTAAATCGGACATTACCATCTTTGCTTGTAAAGTTACGCTTACAGTTCCTTTAATGTGAATATTAAATATTACATTAATATTTACTATAATGAGGTATGAGTGATTATGTCCTGACCAAGTGGATGGAATCAGGTGAATTATTTTTAAAACAAATAATGTAGAAGTTATGAGCCTTTCGAAAACAAAATTGGATAATTTTACCATTCAGGGAGGTTCGCGCCCCTCATCTTGTAACAATATAGTGTTTAAATGTTACTAATTGTATGACTAAAACTGTCCAAATTTTTTTTCAGCTTTTCCAAAATAAAGATTTTATTTAATTTTATGTATTTGAAGTTTTAGATTTTTTTTTTGTGTAGAATAACAGGTATAATAAATATCAATCAGGTAATGTATTTTACCAAAGCAGTAATCAGATCAAGATTTTAGACAATTTTTTATCGAGTATGGCAGCTAAAACTACTTAGAAGTCCAATTTTAGAATATCTTTAAGTTTAAGTTTTGAATATTAAAATTGGTTAAAACTTAAAGGAGTTTTACAAAATTCAGCGATTGTAGAAATGATTAAAAATAGTTAAAATTAAACGCTAATAAAACATTTAAATATTTAGACTTAACTGTGTCAGAATTTTCCAATTATAAAACTGTGTGGAGAATAGTAAAACGTTAGTTGAAAGACTGGCAATCTGAAGTTGGATCAAAATAAATTTATAAAAGGATTTTTATATGATATTTTCAGAAATGTAAAAAAATGTAAAGTCAAAAATGTATAGCCGAAAATGAAAAGTTTATCAACTTAAAGTAGATAAAGATAAATATCTCCAAATTATAGATTAAATTAGCAAAGTTATTCAAAACTTAGAGTTTATGAAATGGTCAGAGTCCTATCTTAGAGTAATGATATTTCCAATTCAAAATAAATATTAAAATCAAGGAAGAAGGTAAAACAAAAGTAAATATATGTGGGGATTATAAAACAAAATCCGTAATTTCACTCTAGTTCAATTTAGATTATGTAATCTCAATTAGACAAAATGGAGTATTTTCTAGTTAAATATTACTCCTAGTTACGCTGGTTAATTTGATCAGAACGGTATATTTATGTTACGTTCTATATTTTATAACTTTTATCAGCGTATAGTTTTATAGCTTATAGCTTATAGCTGATATATCTGTTTCACAGAATTTCCTGATATAGTTCTATTGGTGAACATGATTCAGCTTTAGCTGATTTATAGCGTATAGCTGATATATCTGTTTCACAGAATTTCCTGATATAGTTCTATTGGTGAACATGATTCAGCTTTAGCTGATTTATAGCGTATAGCTGATATATCTGTTTTACAGAATTTTCTTATATAGTTCTATACTGAGAACATTATCAGCGTATGTTACATATTTGTAGATAACGTTTATTTACGATAACTAAAAACAAAAACTGTTAACTATCAGGAGCTCGATCGCTGTAGATTATCCATCCTCGCTCTCTCGGTCCAAAAAAAAATATAAATATTACTTAACTCAACTAGAGGTTCGTGTTCCCTCTGCCTATTAATTAGGCTGGACTAAATACCTTACTATTAATTGCAATTTAACTAAATCCTAACTTAACTAGTTACNTTTGTAGATAGGATTTTATTAACTATTACAAAAATCAATAAATATCAACTTTAACTACCAGGAGCTCGTTCTCTGTAGGTTATCAATTCTCGTTCTCTCGGTCTAAAACATTATAAATACTACCTAACTTAACAAGAGGTTCCTGTTCCCTCTGCCTATTAATTAGGCTGGACTAAATACCTTACTATTAATTTTACTTTAACTAAATCCTACCTTAACTAGTTACTTAGCTCAAATAGAGGTGCGTGTTCCCTCTGCCTATTAATTAGGCTGGACTAAATACTTAACTATTAAATACAATGTTAACTAAATCCTAACTTAACTAGTTACTTAGCTCAAATAGAGGTACGTGTTCCCTCTGCCTATTAATTAAAGTAGAAAAGCGAAATGTACAAAATTTAAAATGTAATAAATGTATAAGGAACTTCTAATTAAATGTTTTAAGTGACTTCCAACACTTAAGTTCCCAAACAATTTCAGAGTAAAAAGTAAATTATTGATAATTCAATGTGATATCATTCAATCTATAAAGAACCTCCATGTATAAAATTTATAAGTAGAATACTTATTGATTTTACAGATGGAAGCGCAAGTATAAATGATCTCCCATTGCATATTATCTGAAAGTAAAATATAAGTTTAAAATTTAGGTTAGTTATTACTACGCCGGATGATATGGAAGTGAAGCTAAAAAGGCCTTACAAGGCCCGATGAAAACTTGGTACCGCGCCCCGCTCGTCTACCGCTCCTACGCGCTCTTTTTGCGCTTAAGCTCGTACCGGCCTCATGCTCGTACCAAAAAGTTTATAGTTTTAAAGGGACTATTCCTGACAATTTGGATGAATCATCCAAATTGCTGTACTCGAAGAATTAGGATGGTTTAGCCAGCCTCAGAGATCATCATTTTTTGGGCTAAAAATTAGTACCCCTATATAATATAAAAAAATCAAACCATGTCGTGCTTGATCTCTTACATAGTCTTAAACATTCGAACAATGTTAAGACATTCACATATGGTCAATAATTTATTTTATTGAAAAAAAAAAAACATTGATTTCATATGCCTGGATTAATTTGAATTTCTCTGAATTTCCCAAAAAAAAACTTGACCCAAAATTTATACCTGGTTTAGTTAGACAAAATACTTTCACTTTTGAGTCGATTGCAATAGAAATAAAACTTAAAGTTTTGGTTAAAATTGGATCTTATTACAGATCTAACAAATATTTCAGTATCGATAATTCATCAAATCACATTGAACAATTTTTAACGAGTTATTAACTTTCTTAAAAAGTTGCAATCACAATTGCAAATTCTCTTTTTCTCGGACGCTATGTGGCATCAAAATGTAAAAACTTGAATACTCTTACAGGCTCTACAAACGCAATAAATATAGAATTAGAAAAAAACTTGTTGGTACACGAATAATAAACTTATTATTAACTTTGAGAAAACTAATGCATTTCTATTTTCAAATTCTTTTTTTCTATTTTCTCTAAATGTGCCAAACGACGGTCCTGATATTTTCTTTAAACGCATGAAAGAAACTGATTCAGTTAGATTCTTGGGAATATGGCTGGATACTAAATTGAACTTTAATGACTATTTTAAAAAGATATACAAGCGAATTACTTTTTTACTCAACGCTATGAAAATAATTAAAAATTTCTTAATGCGTTGACATCAGGGAACAGGAATAAAGGGAAAGGAAATGGCGCTGGTCCGGCAAGAGAAAGCCAGTCCCACTGCTTTCCAGACCAGTACAGTAAACTGACACACACTCTTCTGGTACAGACACACAACATGACTACAGTCAAGGAAATTGTAGAACAATGTCGTCGATTATAATTAAATTTGAATAACGAGTAGTTTATTGTAAACTTTAATAAAATTAAAAATAACGCTTAAAATCTGATTTGATTTTACGTTTTGAGCCATGTAAAAGTTTCTTGTGTACACGAGATATGACTTTTTCTAGTAAATATGAAGGAATACATAATCTTAGGTTACCATTATGTAATGTTTTATATAGCGAATTATCAATAATTATGAATGATTTTATTTTTTTAAATGAACATTTTTCATATATATATCCAAAAAAATTATCTCCTTTATAATTTATTTCATAATTTTCTTGATTCCGGCAATCAAAAAATAAAAAATCTTTAATCAATCTCCGGCGTCCCTCTGGGTTAACAATGTCAAACTGAATACTCATATAACGTATACTTTGTTTTTTTAGATTCTGGTTTGGATTAATCTGGCCTGATTTCTTTGTCCTGGTGCTACATACTTGGTACATATCTTTTTTATTATTTATTTTCTTAAAAGTTGAAATATCATTTTTTTTATTTTTATTAATGTTCGGATTATTAATCAATCTATTAATATAATTCTTTCCCTGGGCTAGAGTATCCGAATTATCTAACCCAGTCTGCCATTTTTTTATAATCACAGTTATGTTCAAAATGATATCCGTTGTGACATATTTTACAGTTTGAATCATTGAAGAATTCGAAATATTCGCAGTTGAACTCATGATGACCATAGTGTTTATCTAAATTACATTTTCTACAAAATTTGTATTTATAAGGGTTGTAATCTTCCCTACAATTTTTCCCCGGTCTATATCTGGGATAATCTTCTCTTATTTCTGCAGTGTGGTCCCTTGAAAAATGTCCCGTGTTGTGACCATCCCTAGTCCTATATTTGTTTGCTCCCGACATCGAAATATCAGGGTGCGTTGTAAAATCTGGTGACATTCTTCTGTTAGTCTTTCTACTTCTATTGTCTACATCATAAGTATCCTCATGAAATGATCTGTATCTGTCATTAGTCCCTCTGTTACCTCGGGTGTCATGAACATTTTCGTATGTATCTTTATCATAATTATAATATTTAGGTCTGTGCATTGAATTCGGTGGATGTGCACCTTGAAAGAAACTGTATATGTGGTTCTCATCTTCTTCCGACTTACTGACAGGTACTATATTGATGTTATTTAAACTAACATTAAACAAAGTATCTTCTTGTACAGTATTTAAATTTCTACCGTACTTAAGTATTTTTGTAGGTTTACTTGATTCATTCATTTCTAACTTAATACAACTTTCTTTGTAATAGTCATAAGAATAATATTCATTAAGTTCCTTTTTACGTTTAATTTCGTTACTAACTTCTATAGACAGGGAGTCATTAACAAAACTGGTAAGTGCTATAAAAAAATAGTTTTCACGTATCCTTTTCTGTTTTTCATCCGGAAAAAGTTTTCTTATATAACTTTCTGCTTCTGCTAAAACTAACTGAAGAGGTGTATTTATCTGTCTTTCAAGAGAACGTAATGCGTTCCATAAAATACTAGACTTATAAATTGGTTTTACGCTCTTAATTAAGCTATTTGCGATCTCATCAATTGTCATATCTTCATATAGGTCTTGATTCAGATTTCCCAGTCTTAATAACCCCATTAAGCCAATTTTTCCATCATTACATGTATACCCTGAGCTTTTAGCAAGTGCCTTAAACTCATTCATTACGCTTTCCCAGTTTATGATCTTTTTTTCATTATCCAAGTATGAAATTAATTTCTGGATTTGACCTTGAATCCCAAAGGAAAATGAATTTGGGATTGTGTACCCTATCCTAGGGGTATTTGTATCGGATATCTTTACATATTTGGTGTTCAAATTACCTCTTTTATACTCTATAGTTCCTTCTTCCCATGCCTTAGAAATGTAAATGATATTATTATTCCCAAATGATTTGATGTATTCATCCACAAGCAAATTAAATTTATTTAAATCTTCTAAAATAGATTCTAGGCTAAATGTTTTTATGTCGAATTTAAATTTGGTAACTTTATCAATATTTTGTGTTTTTAAAAGTTTAGATTTGATATCTTGTATCTTGTCTGCGATATTTGTTTGGGTTCCTTGTTGATCAGAGCTCAAAGTCGTTTTTAAAAGAAGTTCATCAATTTCCCCTTGATTTTCAGGGTTAGATGCATGTTTAAGAATAGACAGCTCTAAAAGCGCTTTTATTTTCTCTAAATCCTTAACCGAGTTATCTATTTTGACGTCCTTCAACGACAGTGATTTTCACAGTCGTTTACGTTTTCTCAAAAATAAATTAATAATCGTACATTAAACAATTTATCCGACTGATCCCAATAGTCTTTCACAAATATCGTTAACACGAAACCAAATTCTTATATTGTTTATTTTATATATACGATATAAAATATTTAATCGATGGTTGTCTCCAAACGATATACGATAACGATGCGTAAATAATCACTATCTTATTCTATAAAATAAAAATCTTTTTTTTTATATGTGTTTTTATACTGTTTTTTTCTTTTTATTTTATTTTATGGTATTTTCTTCTAAATTCTAGGTTTAAGTTTTTTTTCCCCCTCAACATTAATATTAAATAGTCACTCAGCAATAATCTTTATTATTATCAGAAATTGCTTTGTCCTCCTGTCTCCAATACAGCGGATAGAGTTATATCATCATATCATATCATATATGTCCTCTTTTGTATTCAAAGTTAAGAATATAAATTACTTCCTTCACTTATATTTAAATAAAAATATAAATTTATAAAAATTTCTTTGAACGTATTTTTATAAATATCTAGAAGTGGTTAGCCCAAAGATATTAAACGTTTAAATCAATATAAATGTCCTCCTTTCCAAACTAAACTTTCACTCTTCATTTAACCCAAATTTCTTTATCAAAATTCAGAAAACACAATTTTGCAAATGTGTTAATAGTTCAATGTGAATTATTACCTTTTCGAAATTATAAAATCAAATGGTTTTATTCCAGCAGCCACTTTTATTGCCAGTTTCAGATATTTGACATTTTATCATGAAATAGAATACGTATATATTCATTTAACCGTATTTACATTCACATTGTATGGTAATAATTGTTAAAATTCATTCACATTTAATCACTATAATATTTAACAATATAAAACCCTCATATTCACTAGATACCATGTAGAATATAAGTTGTGTACTTTCGTAAGTTGTATATGCAAAATTACTCAACTGAGAACTGGTTTAATAACCCTGCTAGCAACTGTGCAAAACCTGGTTATGCCCTGAAGCAAAACCCATTATTTTCATAACAATAGACAACCTTTGCACAGATATATATATATATATTTTATACAACTAATGCGTTTTTTCTGTACAACTATTTTATAAAACTAACTTGCAGATATATTTATAAGACTGATGCGTGTTTGTACAATGCTATATTTTTTTATGTATTATTTGTTTTTATGGAGTATACGTATATCTTATATCTAAAATACGATATATTTTTTTGTATTTTTGTATTTTTAATTTACAATATGTTTATCTTATTTTCATTCAGTATTATTTAAGCAGATGATATCATAGATTATAGAAGGAAATCTAATATATGTATATATATATTCCCATTCTGTCTATATTCGTCCTTCTTCCTCCTGTATGTCAACTTTCCTCAATATTCTATAATCCTCATACTAAAATACATAGATATGAGTCCGTTGTCTTACAATCTTACTCCCTTCCTTTAATATTTATTCCAATTCTTCTTCCTCTACTGCTACAAAAACCAATATTTTATTGAAATATATATATTTTATTCATTAAGAGGATTCGAATACATGAGCTAATTCATCTTGGAATGATTGTTTATTAATATGATCGGTTAAAGTTCAAACCTTATATGCTGAATATCCCAGTGATAGATGATCAGTAAATCTGCAAATATTTCAATAAAATTTTAAACCAAAGTTAGATATAATTAGAAATATAAATTTGCAACTTGTATTCTTTTTCCCAAGTTGTAGTCTATAATATAAATTTGCAACTTGTGTTCTTTTTCCCAAGTTGTAGTCTAGTGCATGACCGGATTGTAGTCTAGACAATATAACCGGGTTAACGTCCTTGTTAAAACCTCAGATTACCATCAGGCAATTTAAAATTTGCACACCGTCACGCAGCTTGGTTATAGCGCAGTTTGCAAAATCCAAATGGTTCGTACTTTTTGTATTACAGAACAACAGTATTAATATATATATACTTTTATATATATATATCCAAATAATATTTTTATTTTCAGGTGCCTCGGCTCTAATTTATGGATAGAGAATTCAAGAATATGTAATATCGTAGTTTATAATAAAGATGAATCAATTTATTTAAAGATATAGGATGTTCAAGATATAAGATTTAATTTTGTTCTTGATGCTTTTTAACAACTTTTCAATATTGGATCATAAAACGTTTTAATATTTTAAAAGATCAATTGAAATGGATCAACAATGTAAAAGTTTCAATTTCCAGTTTGTTTCAGACAAGTAAAACATAGCTCTTTATAAAACTCACAGTTTTTCCAAAATACAAATGCTTATTTTATTTTATGTATTTAAGGGTTTAAGTATTTTATGAAGACTAACAGGTATTATAGGTATTAATAATGAAATCACGTAATATAGTTTCCAAAAGCAGTAATTTAATCAAAATTTTAAAAGAATCTTTTACTGAAAATCTCAATCAAATGGCAACCAACTTAGACACTATTTTGAATTTTGAATATTAGAATTAGTTAAAACTTAAAGAAGTTTTGTAAAATCCAGAGACTGCAGAAAATGATTGAAAATAGTCAAATTTCAATTTATTTAAAAATTATTTATAATTGCGAATTAAAGTTTAGATTTCAGTGTTATATTCAAAGATCAGAAATTTAAGATATTTAAATGATATTTTAAGAGTTTCCTTTTTAGCAAATTATTCTCCGCAAGATAATTAAGGTTTACTTATCCAAAATGTATTTTAGAGTTTTAAATTTAGACTAAAAAATATTAATTCTTTAAAAAATTAATTTTCGAAAAGTATAGAAAGCAATATTTTATGTCAATCAATGGAAATCTAAGTTTTTAATCTAAAATTGTAGAAAACGGAGAAAATTTACGGAGGAAAAACGTTAATGAGACCTTTAAAAATATAAACTTAAATTTTAAAACAGATTTAAGATTTTGCGGAGAATATTAAGACGTAAGTCGAAATAATAGAGATTGGCTAATCTGAAAAAATAAATTTATAAAAGGATTTTATATGATATTTTCCGAAATGTAAAGCTTAAAAATGTAAAGTTTAGAAATGTAAAGTTTAAAAATGTAAAGTTTAGAAATGTAAAGTTTAGAAATGTATAACTGAATATGAAAAGTTTCAACTTGAAAAGTAGATTTAGATAAAGATAAATATCTCAGAAATTATAGAGTAGACTAGCAAAGTTATCCAAGACTTAGAGTTTATGAAATGGCTAGAGTCCGATTTTAGAGTAGTAAAATATCAAAATGTAAATAAATATGAAAATCCAGAAAGAAGGTAAATCAAAAGTAAATATATGTGGAGAATGTAACTAGAGTCCAATTTTAGAGTATAAATACTGAATCGCAACTAGATAAAATAGATGTAAAATTGCTTAGAAATCAAGAAAGAAAGGAGAGTAAATCAGAGTATGCAGAAATCGGAAAAAACAAAGTAATAATCCAAAAATTAAAGAGTATTCTCAAGTTTTTATAAAATTGAATAAAAGATAAAATATATGAGAAATCTACGGTTTATTTATTCAGGTTTAAGGTTTATGTTTAATATTCAGAGAATCTATATTCTCTTACATGGAGTATTTTCTGGTTTTCTACTACTCCTGGTTCTATTCCATCAGCAGCCCAATTGATGGCGTGATTACCATGTTGGACGATGAAGAACCTTTTTTAACCCTGAGCCCTTAGCTCTGAGCCCCATATAGCCCCATGTATAACCCCATATAATGGAATAATTAGCTTGTTGGAGTAACTTTAACTGGATGGGATGTAATACTGTGACTTCCCCTTCAGCTTCAATTTAAGTTCTAGTTTATATCCATCTTCAACCCCGATGTTTTAAGATGTTAACCCAGTTCCAGTTTATATCCATCTTTAACCCTGATGTTTTAAGATGTATTGTTAACCCAGTTCCAGTTTATATTCATCTTTAACCCCGATGTTTTAAGATGTATTGTTAACCCAGTTCCAGTTTATATCAATCTTTAACCCCGATGTTTTAAGATGTATTGTTAACCCAGGTTTGTTTGCAAGTTTGTAGATAAAATTTATTTGACTATAAAAATATTCAATAATTCTCGACTGTTAACTATCAGGAACTTGTTCTCGTTCTCTCGTTCTCTCGGTCCAAAATCTTAACTAAATCTTAAAACGTGGTACATGTTCCCACGGCCTACTAATTAGGCAAACTAACTAACTTTCTTAATCTTAACTGCAATCTTAACTAAATCCTAAATCGTGGTTCATGTTCTCATGGCCTAATTAATTAGGCGAACTAACTAACTACCTTAATCTTAACTGCAATGTAGGAAATGCACAATGTAGAAAATGTAAATATCTAAATTTTAACTGCAATGTAGAAAAGTAAAATGTAGAAAATGTAAATATCTAAATTTTAACTGCAATGTAGAAAAGTAAAATGTAGAAAATGTAAATATCTAAATTTTAACTGCAATGTAGAAAATGTAAAATGTAGAAAATGTACAATGTAACTCAATAACTATAAATATGTATAAGGAACTTCTAATTAAATATTTTAAGTGTACTTGCAGACACAGAAGTTCAACATTTTAATTTTGAAAAGAAAAACAATGTGAGTTCATTTGATCAAGAAGACCTCCATGTATCCCTGCCGGTTTTCATATCTCATTCAAAAAAATGAAAACAGAAATTAAAAAGTAAGGATTATTGATTTTTTGTGGATTATTCGTTGAATTGGGGAAAATAACTGATGTGCTGGGATTTTAGGAGCGAAAATATCAAAAAGGATAAATAAACATTTTTCTGGAGTTTTATTCCAAACAAAATTGACTCATTAAAAAACCCTTATTTTTAGTTTTTTATGTTTTATTTTATTTTGAAGATTGAGTACTACCCCTGGAGTAAAGCAGTTCAGGATGGAGTTAGCCAAAAGAAACATCGAAAATATTCTTACTGAAGAAGGACGCCGGCAAAGGAGACAACAGGAGGCCCGGAGAACAGGTGGAGGGCCAAGCGTTCATCCTATTCCAGAACCGGACCCTGAGGTCTTCAGGTGGTAATTTTTTTATGTTTCTTATGTTATTTACGCATTTTTATCTTCACTCTAATATTTGTATTGTGGGGGGGGGGGCACCACCAGAAACCTAGTATGAATAATTCTGATATCTTAAATTATATAATTCTATTTAAGTTGTTTTAATAGGTCTGATGTGAAAATCAGAAACAAATTTGGTCCAGTGAACATTGGAGATACAACATTTCCCTCTAGACCCTTAAGCCTCAACCTGTCAGTTGAATATGAGGAGGAGAGGAGATTGAGTTCTCCAAGGATACCCAGTATACCCCAGGAGGAGGAGGAGCATGACTTGCTGAGCTCAGCAAATTCTGAAGGAAATTTTTCATTTTATTCATAATTTGTAAACAAATTGGTTTTACCTGTGGAATTTTAGAATTTTGAATAAATTAATTGAAATTTTGAATAGAGAAATTAAAATTTTAAAAACAAAATGGAAATTTTGAAAATTAGATTTTTTTAAAATACTGCACATTTCAGATAGTATATATATGTGTGTGAACAGCTTATGTTGTCATTCTTGTTTATAACCTTGATGTGGCTAAATTCTTAATGAAATTTGTTTAGAGATACCATTCCTTGCGGAAGGTAATACTTCCTACTCATGGGGAAGTGATGAACACCCTCCTCAACCTTCTATTCCTTCTCTCTCTCACCCTATTTGTTCCTCTGTGGCGGCGTAGTGGCGTAGCGGCGGAAGACGATGAGACTTCTGGAGTTTTGAATCTTAAGATCTAGACGCGGCAGGGCGAAGACTTCCGGCCACGTCACCTATCTATCTATTGAATATATTTACGTTTTTGATAAATTTAGATTTTAAATTTAGTAATAAAGTAGTTATTTAAACTCGGTGTTTATACCTTCTTCTTCTTGTACTTGTCCTTCTTCTTCTCTCACTCGTCCTTCTTCTCTCACTTCACCAGTTTCCTCCTCTACCTTCACTTCTTCTTTATCTTTTCCTCAGACTCATCCTTCTCTATCCTCTGCTCAAACTCATCCTTCCTCAACTCGGCGTACAGCCACAGCTGCAACAGCTGCCACCGAGCTGGCTATCCAGCAATCTGCTGGAAGGATAGGCTAAAGGTTCGATTAGTTTAATTTTTCCGTTAATTATTTGAAGTTGTTAATCTTCACATTAGTTTAATCTTAAATCGATTTCTCAATTATCAATCTTCAGACTAGTAATTAATCTCTAATAAACTATTTGAAGTTTTAAATTTATCAAAATAACTTTTGTATTTAGACGATCGATCTGAAGCTCAAGTTGAGGTTCTAAAAGCTCAGGCTAAGCTTTATAAAGAACAGACCAGAAGAGAACACTCTCTTAGGCTCCAGGAGACGGAGTTGCATAATCTAATAGTGCAACATGAAATAAAAAAATTAAATATTTTGATACAATGATGGATGTCCTGAAGGTTAAAATTTTGATCAGAAAACAAATTGTTTTTTTTTCATAAAACAGTTTTCTCTACACACTATTTTTTTCCAATGGAGTCTTTTTTTTAAATCAATAATTTTTTAAAAACAATATTTCACCATCATTAGTTCATTTAGTGAGGTTTTCAATTAGAAAATTTTATTTTTGTCAAAATTTTACCCTTTCAGGACAAATCGGACACCCGCAAGCTACCTAATATTAGCATGTAATTAAATTTTTTTTTGTTAAAAAACCTAAATTCCAAAAAAAACATTAAAACCAAAAAACCTCAAAAAAAATTCTATGTAAAACTTTTTTTCATCCATAAACTTCAAACGCAATAGTACCTCTTCCTTAACCAAAACTGCACTAAAAATCCCACAAGTGCAGTTATCCACCATTTACTTTACATTAGAGGAGGTCGTTTTTAACAAAATTCATGAGCACAAATTTATATAAAAAATGTTAATTATGTAAAAACCAAATTTACTCTACATTCGAAGAACAGTAATTTATAAACCTTATATCTTTGCATCCTGATGATATTTTAAACTTAGATTATTTGATCTAACAGAATTCATAGTTTTAAATTTCTAAGATATACAACATTGTATTAATTGTGAATTATGTAAAAATCAAATTAACACTACATTAGAAGAGGTCCTTGTTAACAAATTTCATGAACATAAAATTACATTAGAAAGTATTTTTTATTAGAATAGGTCGTTGTAAACAGAATTTGTAAACATTTTAAAAGTGTTAATTGTGTAAAGATCAAATTTACTCTACATTAGAGGAGTTCATTGTTAACAGAATTTAAATGTATATGATACTTATTCAATTATTGTATTTCTTGCCAGTTGATCTTTGTGAAATGTAATATGTTAAATTTTCCATTCATAAAATAAACTCTAAATTAATTATTTTACGTTAAACTTTTGTCAACCTCTTAAACTCTGGTACAGTAATAACCTGAAAACTTTGAAATAGGAAGACAACTTTTATAATTTAGTTAAAACTTTAAATTTGCAGTGTAAACAGAACCATTGGACAAAATACACTTCAGTGCTGTTCAAATGATGAATTCCTATTCCTTTGTTTTTTGGTTATGATGATGGTAAATGCTAATTTGTATTTTCTCTCTGTTTCGCGATCAGCGAAGACATGTACCTTGTTACATTCTGTGATGGTTTTTCGTAACATTTCATTCCTTTTCTTGCACTCATTTTGAAGCCAAATAAGAGTTCAGGAATTTATTTCAGCATGTTCAACTAAGAAAAAACATAAATAGAACTCAAAATTATTTTTCTACGGGAAAAAGCCCATTAAATGCAAAGCAGAACAAAAATGAACAAAATACAAGAATACTTTAATTTAACGAATTACTTGGGCTGAAAAACCTGTAGGTTTTACTTTATTAAACACAATATAATGTATTTTAGTAAATCTAGTAAATCTTACCCTAATGAGCCTCCACATTCCAGGAACCGGCCTTCTGGAAACTTCTATCTTCATACAGTATGAGCATCAGGGGCGCTGTAGAATCTCACAGAAGCCCTAGTACAGGGGCAACCTCCTTCATATATCATCATAATCGTGACTCAGTCCCGTAACACTCTCTATCTTAATAAAAAATATTTGATGGCGTGGAGAAAATTGGGACAATTTTGCCTCATTAAAAACCCCACCTTTTTTAAGGAAATAAACTAAACATAAAAGTTAGTGTTGAGCACGGCAAGATTCAGTGTTTACATGATGCCAAGCCATCTTCAACTCTTAAGGGTTGGATTACTATTTACTGCTTATTCTCCTATTGTCCCTGGTGTTCATGCCTTGCTCCCGCCTTTCTCTCACACTCAGCATGTTAATGATGTGCAGCTGATCCTGAGGAACATCCAGATCATCATCATCATCATCACATCCCTGGTAATTAGGATGATGATCATTGGGAACATCCAATCAAGAGCAATATTGTGTAGGACTGCACATGCCTGCACAATAAGGATGGAATTTGGTAACTCATTTCGGATGTGTTTATTGATTGGGAAACTACGCTTCAGAATCCCATAGATGCACTCAGTCATCTTCTCTACCCTAGCTGGGGAATGCCGTACATTAAACAAACACTTACTGTTGTCATCCCTAAAACAAAAATTTTAATTATAAGTATTGTTTTAAAACAAAAACATTTAAAATTCAAAACTTCTGTGCAAAAAATTATTTTCAGCAGAGTGGGGGAGGGGGCTGGGCGATTTTTACTGCGAAATAAACACTGCTGATTTTAATATTTTATTTATTTTTTTACCTGGACTGATTGATGACATCCGTTTGAGGATACGCACTGTCCCCAAGCATGATCCTCTGGGGAAATCTTGTCTCTAGCCATGCCTTTGCATTTGACATTGACTAGACCCCTGCGTCATGGAAGGAACCAGGGGCAGAGAGGAGAATATCTTAAATTCTCCAGTCGAATCCTCCAACAATTTGAGAATTTATTGAGTTAACGTTTTTCCTGTTTATAAAATCCTTTTAAAATTCTTCTCAGCTGGAATCCTTCTGGGTTTTTCGAGAAACAGGATGTGACACCCGTCCACCCCCGCAATGAGGTTGGTCAGCTTGTACTTTACTAAAACAGCAGCAATGTTCTCCCTCTGCTGCATCTGTGTTGGTTTATACAGGAACTGGCCCCATACATTATCATTCAACAAAGCTTCCACAAATCTAAAAACATTTCGTTTATGATTATGAATTTATAATTCAACCATGATTATTTGTTCTGCTGTATCAAATCAAATTTCTAACTGTTTTTTCGTTATACATCTAGTTTAGTGGATATTGAAAATAGTGCATATTGAAATTACCTGTACAATACTGTCCATGCAGTGGTATTGGAGACTCCAGAACCATAACTTGCACAGCGGAAGTATTGATCTCTGGCAAGGATCTTCAGAGCCACACACACAATCTGCTCCGCACTAACAGGGAGCCCCCTGATAGTCTCAGACAGGTTGAGATACAGGGACACTAGGTTCACAATTCTCAAGAGGTTTTCCCTATTGAACCAGAACCTAAAAACCAATATACTTTTTATTTATGCAAATCTTACTACATCTCTCTATATAATATATTAGCTAGAATAATCGCCAGTGTTTAAAAAAAAAAAATTAAATATTTTTGGCCAATATTAGTTTTGGATGCCCGTTGGGGGTTCACCGACAAAAGGTCAAATGACACAGGGTCAAACGACAAAGGGTAAAACAACAAAGGGTAAAACGACATAGGGTCAAAAAATGCAACAAAGGGGCAAATTTTTTTTTTAATTTTGACATCTGTTACAGTTAGTATTTATCTATTATTATTTAGGGTTAGGTTAGGTTAAGACACTTTCTGGGCCAAGCGCTGCGGCTACGACAGGATAGGGGGCCGAGTGCTGCGGCTATATGGTCAGTTATATCCATGTTTAACATAGAAGATCCATGTTCAAAATTGATAGGAGGGTTGCGAGTTTCCTATGATTCAAATAAAAAATATTTTTATCATTTTGACCTTTTGTCGTTTAACCCTTTGTCGCACTTTTGACCCTTTGTCATTTGACCCTTTGTAGTTTGACCATGTGTAGTTTGACCTTTTGTCGGTGAATCCCATTGGGTTCTCTGTAAAAAATGTCAGCCCATTTGGCCCAGCCGTTTGGCCAACTATAGGTGTCATATTTATATATGAGCAATATTGTATATACAGGGTGTCCCACAAAACATGACAATTGGTGAACAGTTTTGAATGTCTTCCTCAATATGCTGTCTTAGATATTAAAGAAATTTTTTTGTATTTCATTTTGTTAAAAAAAATCTTTTATACAAACATATTTTACGTTGAAATAAATTTTACTATACAATATTTTTTTTATTCTCTTTCGTATCAAACAA